GATATCATTTTTTTTTCTCCTATAGAGCGTTCGCCTTCGAATTGAGGCGAACCGGGTTTGAATCCCAGTCGATACGCATCCAGCTTGCACCGACCACAGTGCTGACCAGAAATAACCTCAGTGGTTGACGGATAATGGGTTAGAGTCCCCTTGCCGTTAGACTAACCATGGGAGGTTCTCGTGGTCTTCCTCTCCATGTAATGCAAATGCGGGTTAGCTCCATCAAAAAGTCCTCCACAAAGGCAAATTTCTCTCAATACTCGATCCTGGAGTTCCCTAGTCTTCTGGATTAGGTTCAAAATTACAAGGCTACAGAATTGAAAATTAGTAGTCGTAAACCCATAAAATTGGGTCGGCTGTTCAACGACGGTTATAAAAATAAAATAAAACCTAAGACTTTATGTTGTTATACAGGGTGTCCCAAAAGGTCGTTTACAAACTTAGCATGCTGGTCTGTCATATCATGATGAACAAGATTTACATAGGAACTTGTGTCCGAAAATTAAAACTGCGACCGCTAGAGGGCGATAATTGCACGAAAACGGGAGAGTGGGAAAAACAATCATTTCAGGAGTGAACGTTGAAGGAGAAGGATGAATGAGTTTAGTAACGCAGAAATGGCCGACATGCATTACGTATACGGCACCGCTGATGGAAATGGACAAGCCGCGGCATGGACGTACCTTGAGCGCTTTCCAAACAGACGTCAGCCAAGTCATGTTTTGTTTGAACGATTGCACCGCAGATTATGTGAATCAGGTGCTTTCGTAGCACGTAGCCACAACGGTCGAGAACGTGCTACACGCACACCTGTCGTAGAGGAAACCGTGCTACGGGAGTATGCCATCAACCCGCAAAGAAGTCTTCGAGAAGGCGAACGTGTCTTGGGTGTAGCTCGTTCCACCATAATGCGCATACTGCACGATGACATGCAACACCCTTACCACTTCCAAAAAGTACAGGCATAGAGCGTTGACGATTATCCCAAACGCATTGCATTCTCACGCTGGTATTTGCAACAGCGGGGCGCACAGCCAGATTTTCCATCATGGATTTTGTTTTATGATGAATCCTGCTTTACACGGGAAGGTGTCGTGAACCTGCACAACTTGCACGCATGAAAACCCAAGATGTACACGTGCCCATGAACATCAACAACGTTTCAGCGTAAAAGTTTGGGCTGGTATTATCGGTGACATGTTGATTGGCCCTTACCTTCTACCTGAACGCCTCGACGGAAATACCTATCGCATTTTTTTAGAAAGAGTTTTGCCGGATGGGTGACGTTCCTGCCGCTACGCGCTGAAACATCTGGTTTCAGCATGATGGAGCGCCTGCCCACTTTAGCTACGCTGTTCGAGAATGCCTCGATAGGATTTATCCTAATCGCTGGATCGGCAGAGGTGGACCAGTCCCATGGCCGCCGCGATCCCCCGACCTGACTCCCCTGGATTTCTACCTGCGGGGACACATGAAGTCCATAGTGAACGAGACACCTGTAACATCGGACATGGATCTTATCGCCAGGATCGCGGAAGCGGCAGCACGTGTCCGTGACACTCCTGGCCAATTTGAACGGGTTCGTGAATCCATGCGTCGACGCTGTGAAACGTGCATTGTGGCGAATGGAAGGAATTTTGAGCATTTGCTGTGATGTAATGATGTTTTATAATAAAAATCATATTAACACCGCTATCGATATCATTTTTTTTTCTCCTCATCCAAACCAACACTTATCGCCCTCTAGCGGTCTCAGTTTTAATTTTCGGACACAAGTTCCTATGTAAATCTTGTTCATCATGATATGACAGACCAGCATGTTAAGTTTGTAAACGACCTTTTGGGACACCCTGTATTAATTTTCTAATATTTGTTTTATGCTCAAAACCAGTTAGAATTTATAAATTACAGGAAACTCTTATGAAGGGTAAAATTACCCATAAATTTAAATTAAAAATCACAATAATGAAACGTCTTAGAATATTAAAACTGTTCACACATCGACCTGTAAGCATAACATAAGCGGACGATTATACTGGAAGTTTCCTAAATTTCTTCCAGTTTTATGAAGCATGTTACTGTTTACATACAATCAACCATTTACCATTACATTAATGAGTACCAATAAAAGAGATTTTAGTCCTCACAGATCCAGAGACAGACTGGTCATAGACTCAGAAGTATATCATATTCTACGCCAATAGGAATGTGGTCCACTTGAAATTTGGCCTGTCTGACCTCGAACAGTTTCCACTTTTATCTTTTTAAATGACAGCAAAATGGTTTCTTAAATGTGGGAAATTTCATATTATGAGAAAAAAAAACTAACCTCATTACAGAAATGTCTTTAATATTCAAAGATCAAATCTATGTACAAGTTGGTGTGACTTCAGATTCCATTGTGAGATGAAAGTTTTTGAGCAGATGTCACATTTAAAAGGTCTCTCGCCAGTGTGTAGTCGAATGTGTTGATCCATGTGGCTTTTATTATGTGTTTTATATGGACAATAAGAACAAACGTGGATTTTTCTATTCCAGGTTTTTTTCCAGCCTATGTAAGTAGTGTGATCTAGAAAACAAAAAAATAAATGCAATTGCTACCTTTAAAAATTTTCTTTTATTTGGAGAATTCTAAGTTTGTTACACTACGTGTAGGAATCTTTTTTAATTTAGTTGTTTTGCATTGCCACATTTTTTTAAAATCTAAAACCACATTTTTGTTTATAAAATACTTACTATATTTCATTGCGTTTTCATCTTACATCATACATATATTTTATAATCACTACTTTTACCACATATTTTTAGTTTTTTACAAAATAAAATTTGTTTAAATTCACACTTCAGAGGCCATAAATTATTATTATTATAGCAAGGAAAAATTCTCATCCAAATTAACAAATCAGTATTGCAGCAAGGGTATTAAAAACAATTAAAATAAATTTATATAAATAAATTAAAATAAAATTAAAATCAATCGATTAAAAACAATTAAATGGCAATTATGAAGAACACCTTTAAACATCAATTGACATAAACTAGTTTCGATCATTTTAATTCTTTTTTTACTATTATGTCAATGACACATAGTAAAAAAAAAAGTTTTTTTACTATGATATTGCTGTTTGAATGTTTTATCACTTTACATGATTTCTGCTGCTCTGCGTCCGCCATGTTCCTGGGCTGTTTGCCATGCGTGATATGTATTTTATGTTTGTACTGCTTTTTGGATTTTTTTTTTTTGATTTTAATAAACATTTAAACGTATGCCCTAAATAAGGGCGGGTCGGGCTAAATTTTCCCATGATGTCAATGATTTACTATGATATAATTTTCTCATTTTATAAATTTTTTAAAGGTTTTAAATTCATAATTTATAAGGATTCTAAAAATACACAGGTGAAAAATAATAAACGTGACAGCAGAACACAGTACATTTCTAAAAATTAACCCTTTTTAAAAATTTCTTTTTACAATCCATCAAATATAAGACTTTTTTCCAAATAAATTTTTGTAAAGACCAGAAAAGCTTACATTTCAGACACAAATTTTTTTTCTTCAATAAAACTTAGTAATTTTTCTTAACTTGAAAAAAAAAATTAAGTAATAGGGAATTCAATTTTGAATTCCTTAAAATTAATACAAAAATAAAGGATTAAATTAACACAAAATTAAGGAATTAATAAGAAAATAAATATTATTAGAATTCATGGAAAGAAAATAACAATAAAAACTGAAGTATTGTATCTTTCGGATACAGCATAACACTATAAATTCTTAAATTTACTATCAAGTTGTTATATATGTTTGTAAAAAAAATGACACTTGACACTAAAAGCACTTAATATACTGGATATTGGTGCATTCTTAATACACTGAATATTAAGTGTTATTAAATAAAAAAATACCTAAATTATTATTAAATTTTTTTTTCTTGGAATACTCTTTGGATAAACAAATTTTATAATCAAGTGCAAAACTTTTTGGATTCCCTTCAAAATAACAAAGTATATAAAAAGTAAAATGAACTGGTTCAAACTTTTGACCATTCTGTTGAAAAAAATTATTGGGATTATATTTTCTTGATTGCAGTTACTATCATATCTTGAGCTACAAAAATCCGATGATCCAGATATAAATCTTAATATTTATAGTAAATTTAAAAAAAAAAAACTTTATAAAGAATGGTAAGAACCATTTCATATTTGAATTGTTGAAACTTTTACAACGAGTAAAATTACTGCCATTTATTAAGTCTTACAGTCTGTATTCCTTAGGTTAATTTTTTTTCAAGTACAGATGATTATTATTTTTTTAAATCTAGGTAATTATCTATTCCATTATGATTAACACATCAAGAAAATGTTCTATAAAGATACAGTAATTGTGTATTTTGAAATAAAAATGTTCAATGTTTTTGCAGGAAACATTACGTTTAAGGCAGGGATGGGCAAACTTTTTTGGTAGAGGGCAAAAAATCGAAAAAAAAAATTTATTTGGTGGGCTAAGTAAAAACTTCTAAAAAATACGATATACAAGTTTTAAGTTAAATATTTAATGAAATGAATGAAATTACGATTTCATTTTTAAAAGTTCCTTACACTGCGGTTCCAAGTGAGATGTACTTATTTTAAGGAACGAGGCTAAATGTTTGTTAGTCTACTTCTGAAATTATTTTTTCTAAGATTCATAGTTCAAAACATTTGTTCAAATATATAAGATGAAACAAACAGACTGATTTTTTGGGCATAAAATATTAAATTTAGGAAACTAGCTTTTAGTAATGATTTGTAAAACTCAAACTTTGTCATATTTAGAAACAACTGCTTCAGATGGCGCCAATCTTTGACTATTCAATAAAGAACTTCTGTTTTCAACATTTTACCAATTGAACCAGCTGTCTGGGCTAGCTATTTCCATCAATTTAAGTTTTATAGGGAAAAGAAATAGAGAAAGTAAAAAAAGTCGTCAGTACTTTGTTAAAAAAAAGAAAGAACAAAAATAGCTTTAAACAAAGTAGACAAGAAAATGGATGTATATTGTTTATATTCGCCACGTATTGGCAAGTTAAAATTCTATCTGCGGGTCGGATAAAACCCTCCGGAGGGCCACAGTTGGCCCGCGGGCCGTAGTTTGCTCATCCCTGGTTTAAGGAGAAAAAAATTAATGAGAAGTAAATTATAGGTGATTGGAGAGTCTCCTAGTCTCTCTAAAAATTACAAGCCTGATATTTTTTAAAAAGATTACATTTTTCAAATAGTCCTTTTTAATGACTAATAATGTGCATTGGATGAAAGTTCTTTTTATTCCAATAATTGTAATTAAATAGCCCTAAGAGGTTGTTCAAACATTACATGAACATCTTTTTGGCATTTTCTAACCCCCTTGTAAGGAAACTGCAAACTCCCCTATGATTATGTAAAATTTTAATTTCTTTAAAATTCTGTTCAACTAAATTTCTGAATCATAATTTTAATAAAAAAATAGCTTTTATTCATTGTTTTAACATGAATTATAATTGCATTTATGTCGATTCAGATGGCGCGCAAGGTTGTTCTAACCATTTTTCAATGTCCATTATTATGATATTTTTAGCATCTGCACTTGGTTAAACTTCTTTTAGGTATCTTCCCCTCCTTCTACGTACTTTATAATGCACATTAACTCGCTTACTTGGCAATCAGCAATTTCAACAGTTCGAACAAGGTTGGCAGTTTTTATCACATAAATTTTTTTTATGATGATTGGTTTATTTCTGCGAGGCATGGTAAATTCCACAATTTTTGCATGTCGTTGCAGATAGTTGCAATTTAATAGAAAAACAAAAATAATCGTATGGAAGCCTTAAAAATCCTTTAGTTTAAACATTTATGTTCAGGTCTAAACAGAATCAAAGAACTTCTCATCCTTACTATCTAATAGATCACCTTCTATTTGTGCCATTTTGATGGACAGGGAAAAAATTTGTCATTAATATTTTGAATAAACCACTTCTTAAAAGAGAACATTAAAATTTGGAGCAAATATTGGCTTTCCCACACATGTTCTGCATACCAAACCAGCTCTTGGTCATCAAGTAAGTCAGGTTTCCCTGCTACAACATATGTAGCTTTGACAGGATAACCCAAACCAGCTCTTGGTCATCAAGTAAGTCAGGTTACCCTGCTACAACATATGTAGCTTTGACAGGATAACCCAAACCAGCTCTTGGTCATGAAGTAAGTCAGGTTTCCCTGCTACAACATATGTAGCTTTGACAGGATAACCCAAACCAGCTCTTGGTCATCAAGTAAGTCAGGTTTCCTTGCTACAACATATGTAGCTTTGACAGGATAACCATCAATGCTCATTGAACTCCAAACTCAGCTTTCCCAGCATATGTAAAATTGCTTAATTAATGTAGTATGTACTACTTATCTTATAACTATCTTGTGCAAATGGTAAGAATTTAAATAATAATAATAAAAGGCACTCATTACCATAAAAGTTTGATTGTAATAAAAATTAATAACAATTTTTATGAAGTGAAACATTTTAAACAATAAACCAAACGTACAATGACCAAAGCAATCTTTTGAAATAAAATTAACATTATTTATGCAAAAAAAGTTCTGGCAACGAAAGTCAGTAGAAAAAACTTAACAAACTTTTTAATATTTATAAATTTCCAGTGACTGTTATCCTCATTCGACAATTTTTCAAGGCAAATTTTTTAATACACAGATTCAAAATATCAGTGGCTTTGTACGCAGTGTGTAATTTATGTATATTTCTTTTTATTTCACTAAATAAAATTTTTGGACTCTCGGATACCTAAGAAGACTTGAGGTCTCAATTATCAGGGTAAATAGGAGGATTTATTGTTACTCCTTGCAATTATTAAACACTATAAAAAATTTATTTAATTCTTTGTTGTAGAAAACCCTCAAATTATATTTAGCTTAGACTGTGAATATAATAAATTACAAAAAAAAAAAATAATAATAAATAAATTGTACAAGCAACATTTTAAACAAAATTACAGCAAAGACATCAGATACAAAATTTATATACAGTGAAACCTCCTGCAAAACGGACGCCTCTCAATACGGACATATTTTTAATTCCCCGGGAATCTTCTATGAATAAACCATTACGTACATTCTCCGCAAAGCGGACGCGGACAGTCATTTTGATCCTGAAACGTTGTTTTTTATCTCTACAAACCGNAAACAAGAAGAAATAAAATTAACATTATTTATGTAAAAAAATTTCTGGCAAGATTACGATCAACAAAAGTCAGTAGCAAAATCTTAACAAACTTTTTAATACACAGATTCAAAATATCAGTGGCTTTGTACGTAATGTGTAATTTATGTATATTTCTTTTTATTTCACTAAATAAAATTTTTGGATTCTCGGATACCTAAGAAGACTTAAGGTCTCAATTATCAGGGTAAATAGGAGGATTTATTGTTACTCCTTGCAATTATTAAACACTATAAAAAATTTATTTAGTTCTTTGTTGTAGAAAACNTGAAAATATTCTAAAAACAATTTACGGTGTTAAATTTCGTTATTAGGGTACCCTTCCCGTAAACGGACAACTCTCATAAACGGACAAATTTTTAGGTCCCATGAATGTCCGCTTAACGGAGGTTTCACTGTATCAAGAAAATGCACACATTTACAATTCCTTTGTAAGGAACACTTAATTTTTTGTACATAATAAAAACACACTGAAACTAGTATGATTGAATAATAAGCCAGTACACCTAAAGGATCTTCTATGCAACTTTAGGTTTAAATTTTGTTCAAAACAGGTTTTTAAAGCAGAAGCCTCTTAAAACGTATCCAAACAAAATAATATATTAAACAGATGGCACACATTTCTTTTAAGTTACATTAAAATTTTCTTCTGACATGAAAAATAACTAAAATTGTGTGATAAACCTAGCTAAACGTTTTTTTAATACAATTTTAGGTTTAAATTTTGTTTAAAATAGGTTTTGATCTAAATTTTACATATCCAACCAAAAAATATAATATCAAGCATACTGCTCAGATTTTCTTTACAGTACATTTAATTTTCTTTTTGGCATAAAAAACACTAACTAAAAATGTGTAAACATATACAGCTAAAAATTAAACAGGTTTTTATTCTCACAATTTTAGATTTTAATTTTGTTTAAAATAGGTTAATCTTGACAGACCTCAAGTAAGCAGTATCCATTTCCTTTAAAATACGTTTGAATTTTCTTTTGACACAAAGAAGAAAAAAACACTGATACTAAAATTGAATAGGTTTATAAACCTATTTAGGTTTCAATTCTGTTTAAAATAGGTATTTCCAGACAGGCCTATTTTTAATATATCCAAACGAAAATATATAATATCAAGCAAACTGTGCATGTTTCCTTTAAAGTACTTTTAAATCTTTTTTCTTTTGACATAAAAAAATACAATAAAAAACTAAAGTTGTGTAACAAACCTGATTAGCTAATTATAATTACAATGATTAAAACCAGTAAATTGAAATCTATAGAAACCAACAGAGACTTCATGTTATATTAAGTGACACGCCGGTCAGATGGCCGAGTGGTTAGCGTGCCTGACTGCGATGTCAATGGCTGCGGGTTCAAATCCCGCTCTGGGCATGGTTGTTTCTCTCTCTGTGTTGTCATCTGATGTGTGAATGTTTGAATGTGGCCCACCCTATGAACGGGTATTTGTGGCAGTGTGGCGTGGGTAATGTTGATCACCTCCGTGACTTTGGTTCACAGGTGCCCACTGGGCAACGATAAATGAGCAACACTTCCGGCATCTTCTAAGGCAAAGAACAAAAGTTCAGTGCCTGCCGTTATTGAAAAAAAAAAACATATTAAGTGACACATGCATTGCAAAATTTTCACAAACATTTTCTTAGTTGCACATGAATTTTCATGTGCATGTTAAGGTTTCCTCTTTGAGTGAAATTTTTGCCACATATTTTACAAGCAAATGGACGTTCTCCAGTGTGACAACGCATGTGCACATTGAGAGTGGATTTGAACGGAAATTGTTGGTGACAAAAATTACACTTATGAAGGATGGAGTCAAAACTAGAATTTGAAACATCAGTGGAATAAATGGAACCTAGAAAAAAAAAGAAACACCATTAAAAGATTCCAAAAATATTTTTCACTTAATTGCAACTTATAAAACATATTAATAAAGCATGTATTATTCATTTATGCTATTTTCGAAGATAATGAATATAAAAATTTCACTTATTATAATTTTTTTAAAAATGCTGAGCGCCAGAAAAATAATAGTTTAGTAGAAAGTTTTTAAAACTTTGATACCTCATCCAGATTATTGTGAGTAAAATTCTCATGATCTTACAAGTACAACTTATAAGCAAATGAACTTTAAACAGCATTAAATTTTTTGGTCCATTTAATTTTATCAAAAAAAAATTCAACATTTAGAAATTCAACATTCTGAACAGAAAGACATTTTCACTCTCTTATACCAGGGCCATCTTAATAGCATGCAGGGCCCCTGAGCACAAAAATGTTTTACACCCCTATTACATGCCGTAATATTAAAAAACGAACTAAAAACTTCCCATACATAAAATAAAACAATTTTAAAATATGCAATAATTTTAAAAAAAATTAAACACATTTTGATTACCTCAAAAACTCAAAGCATTTTTAAACAAAGCATAATTTTTTTTTAAAAAATTGATGCTAACCAGTTATAAACCTCAAAAAATAAAATTATTTTCAAAACCATGGAAGTTAATTACAATAATTAAATTAAATAATTATAAAGGTATAACAAATAAAAAAAATTCAAAAGGTATGAATTATTTTGTCAAATTAAATAGTTATTAAAATAACTTTTAATACACAAGTACCTAAAACTTTTGTTGGAATGTAGAAAAATAGTCTAAGTTTTCTTGGTGATAAACAATTCAAATTATTGGTTTTTGCATGATAATCAATCGCTATTTGTAGAAAAAAATTCACACTTCATGCAGTAGAACATATTTATTTTAAATATTATATATAATAATCGAATTTATAAAAAATAAGATTCTCAAGGACCCCCTGAGTGCCTGGAGCCTCCAGGCACTGTTGTGCCCATGTGTAAAGACAGTACTGTCTTGTACCCAACTAGTTTGGTTGCAGAAAAGTAAGAAAACAACCATTTCAGAATTCAGCATTTTCGTAAATCAGTCTTTTTCTCAGTGCTGTAATCGAGAGACATGGCTTATAAAACAGAAAGGACTGCAAAGGAAATACTTATTTTAACCAGTTGGTGTGATGTATAAAAAAAAAAACTATATAAGAAGATAATCATTTCAATTTTCAGAAACTATAATACTTTTATTGCTATATTAAAAAAACCAAAAAGTTTTTCTGCAGAGGTAATTTTTAATATTTAAACCAGTTGACGCAGAAAAGTAAGAATATAGTACATTCAAAGTTCTCCATTTTTTGTTGTAAGTCAACCTTTTAACAATGTGACTTACAGAAATTCTGATTTGCAGAACAGGAAGAACTGTAGTAATCATTTTTTCATTGGCTTTCAACCAGTTCAAGTGATGTTTAACATATTAGTTAATAATTTTTTTTTGTTATCTATTTTAATAATGAAAATATTACAAAACTTAAAACACAGATTTTAAAAAAACACCCCAGTAAAGGTTTTTCTTAAAAAAATATTAAACGAAGTTCGCAGCACTAAAAACAATAGTATAGATCCAAAGTCTTGCGAGTCTAGGTGTAAATCAAACTCTGAAATTACGTAAAAAATTCAAGAGAATCTGCAATCATAATATTATATTGTGTTTAACATGTGCATGAGACCTCATGTTTTGCTTGCAGGTAAACACCATATCACACATTACACATTTGAATGGCTTAATTCCTTGGTGACTTTTCAGGTGTCTCATGAGGTTTCCTTTCTGAGCAAAGCTCTTTCCACATTTTCCGCACTTAAAAGGCTTTTCTCCTGTATGTATGAGATAATGTCGATTGAGGAATGACTTGGCAGAAAATTGTTTTTGACATATATCACACGCATAAAAAGTACCAGGAACATTGTACGAATCAGATGAAACATCAATAGTAAACTCTAAAAAAAAAAGAAAAAAACATAATTATTATGTAAAAATTATTTTTAAAAAAAATAAGAATTTAGAGGCATAACTAAAGAGCTTTATGAAAGTATAAGTAAAATTGCATCTTGAAAACTACTTTAAACATTTAAGAATATGCTATGGTCAGTTGTAAGTTCAGAGCTTTCTTGAATTTCACATTAAACTTTTGTGTTTATGTGTTTTGAGGTACTAGATTCAAACTACTGTTTGTCTAAGATAGGTACTCTGACCGCCACTAAGTCTGTGGCAGTCTGGTACTATGGAAACAAGAAGAGGCCATTTTAGGGGGGGTAGCTTCGATGAAAGAGGTCTCTTCTCTCGCCCAAACCAGTCCTAAAGAGGGATCCCGCACCCCTACTTGAAATTATCATACCTCGTTACCATAGTCACCGCCACAGCTCCAGACGAATGTCTGGTAGAGTACCTATCTTAGACAAACAGTAGTGATATTTGAGGCATTTTTCATGCATTTAGAGGCAAATCTCAATTGAATTGAGATAAGTTTATGGCAGTGTACTCCTGCCATTTATTTTTCATATGAAGTAGCCATGGAGAACTGTCCAACAGGGTGCAAAGCCAAATCTTTCATCAAAAAATAGGCAACTTTTTAAGCACTTAAAAAATTTTCAAGCACTATATACATTAACAAAATTTAAAACAATTTTCAAAGACTTTACATGATCATGATTTTTTTGAAAATACCAAATAAAAAAAAAGCACCTTTAAGGGCTTGTAAAAAACAAAAATAAGCACCTTAAAGCACTTTTCAAAAATGCTACGCACCATGTTCTAACATATGCATCAGAGATGTGGGTTTTTGTGGTGAAGAGGCCCTTGAAATAAAAATCCTCTCAATTATTCTAAGTGGAATTTGCAAAAAAAAAAAAAAAAAAAAAAAGAATTTCCGAGGATTAGGAATAACTCAGAAATGTGAAAGATATGTTAAGTACCTGACATTTCAAAGATATGCTGATCATGTAAGAAAGCAAAAGGAAAGTCCCAACAAAGATGGATTGAAGGGCTCTTGATATCTTAAAAGTAGAAATCAGGAAACAGTTGCAAAAAAGTAGGAATGTCTAGATAAAACTATTAGAAAAGGCCAGGACCCACCTCAGGCTGTTGAGCCATTGAGAAGGAAGGGAGAATCAAATGAATTGAGATGTACCATAAAGTATTGCTTTATAGTCCACTAATATTAAAAACAGTGAAATGTAAAGGCATTGTTTGTTAGGTAGGGAGAAAAAGCAATCGATAACTTTTAGAGTTTATGTATATTATTCTTATAAAAAATTAAAGCATTAAATTCTCTCCTACATAATTTGAAGAAATAGTACAGTATGTAATTTAATGAACTGTACAATGAACAGTTTTTGAATTATTTTAACTGCAACTTTTATTTTTGTTTAACTCTTTAAAAGCAGACTGCAAATTCAGTTAAAAGAGTTGTTCATTACAGAAAATTGATTTTTCACGTGTTATCAAAAGGAGATGCTGTGTCTGGCAAGAAAACTTTTGAACAATTCGGTTCAGCTGACAAAAACCTGATTGCGATGAGGATAAAAAAAATTTGTCCAGCTTGGAGAGCACTTTTTAAACTTATGCAGAACAATTAAATGGCTAAATACAACTTAATTTATCAATAAAAATTAAATGTACAGAAAACCTTTACAGAAAAAGCACATTTAAACTGATAACAAATATATGTAAAATGAAAAATTATAGTCAGAAAATCATGTTTAAAATATTAAATGAGCATTTAAAATAATAAATAAAAATCAAGCTTTAAACAGCAGATATTATTGTCACTTTTATATCTATTAATTATATTATTAAATGAGCAAGTATTTTAAGAGTTGTTTCACAGAATATATATATATATATATATATATATATATATAGAACTAAAATTTTTTTGGTAGTATAAAATACAGTGGAATGGCCCCCAAGCCATAAAAATACTTTAGTTTTTTTTATGTATTTTTATAGTTGAAATAAAATACATCTGAATCTATATAACATTATTTATTTTCTCATAAGGCAAAATCAGTTTTTCATTTTTGTTAAAAAATAAGAACACAATCATGAATTAAAAATAAAAAAAAAACATTATTTTTATCAATTCTTTACAAAAAGATATAAAAATATATTAATTGTCAAAAGATTTTCATTTCTTTGAATTTCCTTTTCTAAGGAAACGTATTTAACTCTTGATAACTGTTTATTATTTTATGTAATTTGGATAGTTTTCAATCTTTTCTTTACAATATTTTTTTTAAAATAAAAAACAATCCTTTTATTTTTCATGTTGAATTTCAAAAATATCATTTTGAAGAAATATATTGAAATTTGCAGAGCAAATGGCGCATTTCACAGACTGGGCCAAGCTTCAAAATTTTGTGGAGAAGTTAGCAACCCTGCGTTTACATGCACTAAATTATTTACGAACAGAAACATTTCTTCCCCTGTTTAAAGATGATAATGGGGTTTTGGCAAGTGTTCTCATACATAATGTAGCTGCAAAGGTTTGTATGGAACTTTCAATCACTGCTTAAACAAAATATTCTGAAAGGGATTTTACAATTATTCCTTGATTTTCACTTGTTGTGGTATGTTTAAGTTGTATTCTGCTGGTCAATTTCTTCAACAAATTTCTAAATTCCTAGAGTTCTGAAATCTTTAAAAGGCTAAACTTTTTTGTGTTTGAAATTTTAAAATAAATTTTTTTTTTTTGAATAAAAAACTAGTTCTTTTGAAGTTACTGTACTTTTAGTGTTTCTATATAGATTTTTCTTTCCTTCACAATTTCATTAACCACCTTAAATATTATTTTTCAAATTATTGTTTTTATCAAACAGAAATGGGTTACCATACTATTACCGAAAAATGATTGAATGAAACCTATAATTCATTTGGCAAGTGCATGAAAATACTTTTAGAGTTCAGTGTATTCAATGAAAAGCATAATCTGGTGCAGTTGTTTCCAAATTTTTATATCAATGGAACGCTAAATAATCAAGCATCTTTTGGCCAAATCTCAAGTTAAATAAAATTAGCAGCTGTGAATACAATATCAAAATAATAATAATAAATAAATAAATAAACTATGTACAAGTTATTGATTATTTTTAATGTGAAGAATGAAATTTATTCGATTTCTTTATTTATTATTTTACTTAAATAATTTCATAAAAATAACCAAATTATCAAATAAATGATGAGTTATTGTTGATGACAGGATACAAATATCATTACTGATTTAAAATATTTTGGAGCACCATTTCGGGAGCGTCAATTTAGTGCACCTTTTTATTATAAATACAAACTTAAGTCTTTGTTATAATTCAATATGTCATCCAAAATATTTTTCTTTTAATATTACTGAATATGTATCACTCACCAAGAAAATTAATATTTGTCAAAATACTGAAGACCTTTTTAACTCAAACTTTGAGAATGAGGGTTTGTGTAATATAGATATATTTTTTAATTTACCTACTAAACACGGAAATATTAGTCTGAAACAAATAACTCTTAAAATGCTTTAAAATAATTTTGAAATAAAATAAGTAACACAAAAATATGCACTTGAATGTTTAAAATTAATAAAGAAAGTTGAAATTTTGCAGAGCATGAGAAGTAAAACAAATTTATTAATTTTGAAATTGTAATCACTAAATAAACAAATGTAAAAAGTTAATAGTTCTTGTTTAATTACAGAAATTTTTTACCTACAATTTTCATTAATTACACCCGCAATGTTAATGTGGTTTATAGAGAATTGCAATCTATAGATCTTCAACTATATGTTCATTTCATTTATCAACCTAATTTCAATGCACTATGAATAAATTTTTTTATATATTGTAAAAAAGAATAACCACATTTATTGCTTTCTTTTTATTTTTTTTTTGCAAAAAAGATTAAACAAAATTTAGAACATAAGTTTTTCATATGAACAGAATTTTTTTTCCTTACAAAAAGGTTTATGTAGGTACTCTGCCGTACAGGTGAAAAATTAACATAAACGACTAAAAATTCAAAATTAAGATTTTTATATATTTGGCTTCTATTGTACGATAAGCTACATATTGCAGAAAAAGTTTTTCAAAAATAATATTGTAGCGTTCATAGCAATGGTAATAGAAAGAAAATAGTTGTCAAGCCACATTATTATTGAAATCTATCATGACGTTTTTCAATTGCACGACAGTGTTGTGTATGCCAACTCCAGTACCAGAATCAATTAGGTAGTATCATGAACAAAGACAATATTATGTTTTGAGTAATTGTGATATAACAAAGCAGTCTTAGTGGCATAGCTTTTTGGACAAGAGCTACATGCAAATGGTCGACATCCCTCGTGTCGCTTCATGTGAACTTGCAGGTTGTCCTTTCGGGTAAACGTTTTATCACACACAGTACAAGCAAAAGGCTTTTCACCAGTGTGTATGTTGTAATGCCTGTCTAGGTGCTTCTTGGCGGCAAAACTTTTGTTACATATATTGCATACATGAAGATCTATTGGATCAGGATTTTGTGAATTAACGGAACAGATCAATATACCTGAAAAATTAAGAAAACATCGTTAGAAGTAGATTGAAATATAGATATCTGCATACATTTTAAAATATATAATACAAACACCAGTCATATTGCAATTGCCAGACTAATTGGAAATGTCTCCAGTACTTTCTTATCAGTCTAACACTTAATGCGCTTCTTTAAGAAAGCTTTATTTTCTAGGCTTGTTTAACCCCTTAACGCATTTGCCAGTGTCTGACACGAGCAAAAGTTGCCACATGCAAGTTTGTACATGCCCGTGCCTCACATGGGCAATCTTGTATCTCACGTTATTTTATTTTCAATGCCCGTCTGAGATCAGTTCTAGTAAAAATGGATCAGATAGATTATAATTAAATTCATTTAGAATAAATGGCACCCATATATAGCATTTTCTTGTGTAAACCATATGGTGCATCTTGATGATCAACTATAAGTAAGCTTGTTAGGAATTCTTTGTTGTAAAGCAGTTGTTTGGTGAGTAAAAAGGTATTATATCCATTTTTTTTTGCGTTAAATATCATAAAAGTAATCAGCTAGTCATAAAAATTTTTTTGTTAAGTGCTTTTGTAACTTGTTTTGAAAAAGTTATCCAATAATGAGTGACTGGCGATTTTGAATAAGCCAATTTCTGAAAAAGTTTCAGCGATGAAAGTGACGATCTGATAGATTTAATTTGATTTTAATATTTTGAAATTTAAAATAAACCTGCAATCAAATTAATTCAACTTTGTTTGTACAGTAATTGTTTTTTTATAGCTTTTACACCAACCTCTACTCCCTACTTACCCCCCCTCCCCAACCAAAATTGCAAAAAATAACTTACACTATACCCATATATTTATTTTCTGTCAAAAAAAAATCCATTTAACCAGTTGTTCAGGGGAAAAAAAACTCGTGCTTTAAGAGGATAAGGAAGTTCTCATACTTTTAAGTAAGCTCTCTCATGCCTTTTTCATACCAACTAAATAAAAAATATATACATTTCATAGTCTAAAATTAACTTGATTTATTCCAGATAACTTTATATAAGCCCAGAATTGTGAAAGCTTATTTAAAATAACCTCAGTAATGTTTCCTGCAATAAGCCTAAGGAAATATGGTAAGCCCACCTCCTTGAAGGTGAGTTTGTTTCGGTAGGCAATAACAGCTATTGATATTTCAGGTCTATAGCTAATCTGACCCTTTCAAATGATATATAATATTCATCAACAATAGCTTTTGTTGAAAGCAGAATAGGAACAACATACACATACAAAAAAAATTTTCCTTCTTCTTTAATAATTGTAAAAAAAATTTTTAAATATATATTAGGAGAAGATATTTCTTTTTTAAAAATATATAACTAATAAATAGATACAATGATATAAAGTCACTGATAAATTTTTTTAAAGATTATACAATTATTTAAACGAAACAATACTGTACAGATTTCCTGAAAAAGAAGACAAAAGTAGGTATATTACACATAAAGGTACAATATTTTAAACATTTGTTACTTAAAAGAACAAGTCACATTTTTTTGGTACTTCTGTACTCAACAGAAATAAAAATTTTATAATATTTTTAATAAATTCTAGTTTTTAATGTGCTCCTTTTGAAAGTCATCAGACAAAAAAGTAGTCTAAATCTACTTCAACAGCGAAAACGATAAATATATGTAAATTACAACGTTAAAATCATAAAAAACAGACAAAATAAAAAAATTCAATAAATCGTATTAAATAAAAATTGCAAGCCACTGAAAATCTAAATCACAGAAGAAAAAAAAACATGTTTTATTTAAGTTGCATGACGTAACATGGAGTAAAAAATTTCTAGTTAATATTTTCAACAAAACTCAAATTACACGAACTACAAACGAAACGACAAAATATATTCTATAAAATTTTTCAGCAAACAAAAATTTTGCATTCAATAAAAGGTATACATTTTTGGCATCTAATTTATTAAAGGAAATGTCAATAAAGGAAATCACACAATAGATAAGGAGCCTTTAAACTTTTTTAGCCAATGGATTGCGCTCGCACTTCTAAACTAAACTCATTGACAGCCCATGAATGCCCAAGACCTTCTGCGTCCGTCCCAATTTTCTTGACCTTGGGCTCTGGGATACGGAAGCAGATGTTTAGATTAGGTGGTCCAAGGTTTCCAGGTATGCTTGGTACTAATTTTATAGACCCACTGAAGGGATAAAAGGTTGACTCAACCTGCCCCGGTTCGAGAATAGAATCTCCGACCTGTGACACTGGAGTGTAAAAGCGCTAACACTCAACCACTGAGCGCCACTCACTAATTTACTAAACCATACATAACTAGAGAAGGTTTAATTTAGCTTGCAAGAGAGCATACCTTCTAGATTTGGAAACTTGTACTTTTTTTTCTCTCTCTCAATATTTTGGGACCATTATAAGCATTTTCTAATACATTTCCATCCTTTTATCCAAGACCAGACACAGTTTTTAGAAGCTCTAGGATAAATTTCAGTGCTGGAACTTACATATTTTGCAAATTTCCTTGTTTTTATTTTTAACTTTAATAAAAAAAATTTACTTTACCAGGCTTTTAGCAGAAACAATAGTCTCAGCTTTTATCCCATGAATCTCTTATGTTTCTTTGGATAGGCCATTTTTACTCAGAACTATTTGTCTTACCTATCTAGCTTATGAGTTATAGTGTTTCTTCTGATTATCATTATATAAAATCTATTTTAACTGTAGTTGAACAACAGACTCAATTTTCGGTTTATGATTACTAATGTTCAACTTCATAGCCTTGTAACTTTGAACCCACTTCTGAAGACAAGGGATCTCCTGGATCAAGTATTAGTAGAAATTTCCCTTTGTGGAAGACTTTTTGATGGAACGATGGAACTAACCCACATTTACATTACATGGAGAGGAAAACCACAAAATCCTCCCATGGTTAGCCTGACGGCAATTGGATTCTAACCCATGATCTATCTACCACCGAGGTTATTTTAAATCAGTACTGTGGTCGGCGCAAGCTGGATACGGAATTCGTATTGACCAGCCATCTCTGGGATTCGAACCCGGTTCATCTCATTGGAAAGCGAACGCTCTATCCTCTGAGCCACCACTGCTCTTTGCAAACCATTAAATAAATTCTATCAATTGTTGCTTTTGAATTTCAATTGTGTTTGTTCCTGACCAAATATTCATGAATCTAATGCCTGATTAATTCTTCACTTTTAGTGCTGTATTCAATTTATGAACACAATGCTAAAACAGGAATTATATCTTTTAAGTTTGATTTATTTGCACTGTTCTATTTTTCTTTTAGCTATTGCTCAATCTATTTACATTGTAAATTTTAAAATAAAATGAAAATTATCTAAAGTGAGCCGAATCCCCGATATGCCACAGGTTGTTATTGCAAGCCAGATTTTAGACTACAAGGCCAGAGATCTTTGCATTATATCATTAATAAGAAAGACAATATCAAAGATTTTTTGCAAACCATACTTAACTGTAAAAACAATAGAATTATTTTTACACGGAATTGAAAATTGATATCTGAATGAAAAACAATACTCTAGTGGCATGATTACAACAGTTTTTTAGGATGAAAGTTACTTCTGAAACAACTTTTCTCTTGAATGGCATCCAAGATGTCTTATTAGGTTTCCTTTTTGGGTAAAACCTTTACCACACTCCTTACAAGAGTAAGGTCTCTCTCCGCTGTGGGTAAATGAATGCATTTTAAGGCTAGATTTACTGGGAAATACTTTGCCACACGCATCACACTCGTGGGAACTCAGTTCGAAAAAGGATGTGAAACTAGAATTAGAAATTGAATGAATGCTGCCTGAAAAAAAAGAAAATATTATGAGAATTTAAATTATTAAAAAGAAGTACTTGCAAGATTTTATAATGAAGATGTCACTAAAAATTTACACTGGGATATTCAATTTGATACAGAAAAAATTAACGCAATTTTACCAGAAACTGATTTGATATTTTGCTAACCAAACATTTTTTTTTTAGTTCTAAAAATTAAATATGTTTTCTAAAAATAAATGGTACAGTGCAGCTTTCAGGAGAACTCCTCCAGTCACCAGTCTCTCGTCTTGGCGGGTACCACGGTTACAAGGAAAAGTCACTTCGAATAGGGGTGTGGGGTGAGTAGTTTTGTCTTGATCTTGGCATAGGTCAGCGTGAGTAAACCAATCGACACCTTCATTCCTCCATTAGAAACATGCTCTTGCTTGTTACCATAGCAGCAGACAGCCCCAGATTTTTAGTCTGGAGGAATTCTCCGTAAAGCTGCACTATATGTCACATTTTATTCATTCTATGGTTAAAGCACTGAGTTATAATTGTGAAAGATTGGTGCACTATCCTTGGTGGGGGGTTGAAGCTACGCCACCTGCCCTCCATCATCTATTGATGGATATCACAGCCAGTCTGGAAAGCAAATGTGGTCAGTGCACTACATTGACCACATTGTCAATATAATGCTGTCGTTTTCTAAATAGTGGAATCTTAATCTCTGTGACTACTATGGCAAACAAATTGTAATTATTGACAGATATTTTTTGGTTACATTAAACAGATATATTAAACAGAAATAAATCTGAGTTTAAATTAATTTTTTGGATAAGAGTATAGTTTATTTCCACATGTGGAGAATTTGAAGCAAATCAAGAATATAACACCAAATTTCGATAACGATCCGGAACGATCGGGACCATAGCTATTTCGGATAACTGATTTTTCCGGTTTTCTGAATCACTACAAAAAGCCGTTTTTTTATGGTTAAACCCAACTAAAAAAATATATATATTTGGAAATAATCTTAAAAAGAAAAAACGATGAAGTAATACACTAATGATTATTTCCAAAATGATGGTAAGGTATCTTTCAAAAGAAAAATCCTAAAATCTTATGAGGAAAAAAACATTTTTTTTAAAAAATGGTGGGAAAATTTATCGAATTTCGTTCCGGTTTTTTGGTTTTCTGATTTCTGGATAACGGGTTCTGTACTGTATTTTAAAAAATATGTTTGTAATATTTTTATTAATTAATGACAGAGATGTCAGTTCTAATTAATTTTTTTTGCTTCTTCCTTTTTGTGAAGAAATCCTCTATTATTGGGGAAAAAAATCTATAGATATTGTCAAATTTGTTTTATAATTCATTCATCAAGTCTTTTATTTAGATTTTCTGAAATTACTCATAGTTTTAATAAATAAGAATTTAATTTGTTGTATCTTTCTCCCATAAACTCATCAACTTCATCAAATGACATTTTACTAAGGCTTTGTTGCAGAAGTGAATCTAGGTTTGAATTCATTTTCCAGATCAAAGTGTCACCTAAAATTAACAATTAATTTAGATAACCAATAATGTCACATAACATATTATAAAATAAAGCATAGTATTTGCCATCCCTTTGGGAAAATTTTGACTTCATCAAAAAATAACTTCAAAAACAATTATTGAGTATTAGCTTTCAGTGTTTTGCAAAAAGCTATTTCATACATATTTTGCTATTTAAAGAAAGGAACTGGTTTTAAGCTAATTTTTCATTGACTGTATAGTCCTTATCATGCATTTAAATTTGTTATTGACAACAGGTGTTAAAAGAACAAAATCTTATTAAAAAATAAAGAAAGATGACATTAAAAATTTAAACTTATTAGCAATTGCTATTTTATTACAAAATAACTAACTAATCTTAACAAGCTATTTTTGAAGAATCAGCAAATACAATGATCAGCAAACTCACAAGATTTATTTTTCAAATCACAACACAAGAATTAAAATTTTTAAATAGACATGGTTCCAGAAATTGAGAATTAGTAGAGTACAAAATCTTAATCTAGAATTTTTTTAAGAAGAAATTTTTTAACGTATTTTTAATGAAAAAAGATTACAAACAATTTAACATTAAGAAACAAATCTATATATATTAAGACTTCAAATCTATAAAAACATGACATATTTTTGGAGAAAAAAATGGATGAAATTTTCAATAAAAAATTCCATTAATTTCAATGTTCATTAAAATAGACACTTGATACCATATTTTCAACATACTTCAAATTAAATATGATTAGTAAAAAGCTGCATTCTAAATAAAAATTGCAATAAACTAATTATAAACAGCTACCATAAATAGCAAAATGTGTTCACATAAAATGAATTACATAAAACTAGAACCATATTACATATAAAAGAAAGTCATAAATATCTGCAAACATAAGTCAAATGTAAAAGATAAGGTAAATAAAAAATTTTTACCAATTTAATTTATAAATAAATATAAATACCTACATACATAAATAAATACAAGATAATAACCATGGATTCCATAAATTAATTTTTAATTGAAAAACATTAAATCATTAGACAGTATATTGATTACGTAGTTTGTAATTTTTCATAATATGAATGATAAATTACAATTAATTCATGTTTGAAATTGGAGGCTCTAAAAATATTACACACATAAGTTGAACTTTTCATAAGATTTTATAACAGAAACAGGACCCAAAACAGGATTTTTATAAAAACACTTTTAATGAAAAAATTTTTTTTAATAGTTTAAAAGAATTATTTTAAAATTGTTTATTGTTACTAATTTTGCTATTACAATTAACATTCAAAAAATCTTTGTTCAAAACTGGAGAAATCCAACAAAGATTTTTTTTTTTTATCTTGGTCATAAAATTTTGTACGGGATAAATATTTCATTGCTGATTTTTACTGATTACGCCATTGTAAACTATTTTACAGAATCACCCAAACTTTAAAAACAATATAAAAAAATTTGACTTTAAGACCAACATAAAACCCGAATAATTATACATACCAAAAAGAAAAAAAAATAATGCTTGGAAGTAAAGTATGATGAGATTAATGAAACAAAACCCAAAATCAGTTAAACCAAATTTAGACAATATTACTACAGAGTGCATAGCCAAATCTTTCAACAACAACTTTTAAATATTTTTTAAGCACTCAAAAAATATTTTTAAGCACTATATACATTAACAAAGTAATTTTCAAAGACTTTACATGATCACGATAAAATAACTAGTTTCGGACAAAGAACTCTTTTCTTAATTATACTAACCATTATAAAATGTTCGAGAAATTTTTCGGTTTAATATCAGAGGGTGGAAAATGAAGCCTGAAAGTGGGAATATCTTCCAAAATGAGTAGTACATGAGAGTGCAATAATCATACCGAACCCAGTTCAGTAGACGCACATGCGGACTTGCAAGTATTTCATCAAGCATGTAAAATGATTTCAGCTTTCATACGCTATGGATTGACGGTAGGTCGAAATAAATTGTGGTTGAATCCATATCACATTTTATCCATCTCATACAATTTTTCATCAAAAAACTTTGAATTTTTTTTTATTTGTAATGCCAAATCTTAGATTTTACAAGCAAATATAATAGAATGAGAATGGAAGCATGGAAAAGTTTCACTAAAAAGCAAAATTTTATAAAATACTCATAATAAATGTCAAAATTATTTAAGTCGAATGTCAATAACTGATTACTGTTACTGACAATTTTAAGACTGGTTATTTTCAAGGTATGATAAAGGAATTTTCCAATTTTTTTGTTGTAAAAAAATGCAACTTTCCCTGTTTTTAAGGAATTAAAATAAATTCCTTGACAATTCAAGTTTTTTCTGTTCTCCCTGATTCGTGCGAGCCCTGTTCCAATTATGATTTTTGCAATAATCTGTTGATAACATCAGAAAATAGAAAAAATACCAATGAATACGGCTATGTTTACATAAAGGTAAGGTGGGTAATAGTAAAGGTCTGTGTGGGGTCAAGAAGAGAGGTTGACAATAGAAATTTTGTTTCATGCATTATGTGCTCATTCAATTGAAAATATTTCATAGTGTTAATTAATATTTGATGAATTATAAACACAAAAGTTCAAGTGTATGTTCAATTCTCTACAGTTGATAAAAGTTTGAAAAATCCCAACCTACTTTCCCACCCTAAAAATGATCTTAAAAATCAAAATAATTTTAGGTAATAAAATAAATATATTTCTTTTTATAAATCAATTTCAATCCCAAAGATATTTTAACATAATATTGCTAGAAAAAGTGACCCTACAAAGAGTTAAATCAATATTTAACTTCTACTTAATTATCGAAAAAAAAAAAAAACTGTTTTATAATAGATCGGTATCATGTTGAGAAGACATGTGCTTCATCATAGATTGCTTTGAAGAGAAACCCTTTGCACATAAGTGACACGTGAATTGTCGCTCTCCCGTGTGACTTCTAACATGTGTTTTTAAACTATCTCTTCTTGCAAAACTTTTACCGCAATGGTGGCAACTGTAAGGTTTCTTTTCAGCATGTGATGGTAGGTGTCGCTTAAGCAAGGCTTTCTTAGAAAATGCCCTCTCACACACGTGACACACAAAACTTGAACCTTGTTGACCAAAAGAGGAAGAAGATGAATTAAGATCTAAGTTAGGATAGATGAAATCTGAAAGCAGGAACTCTGAAAGAAAAAATGAAACATTAATTTGTACAACGATTTTAATGCAACCAAAAGACATTCTAATTTGTTTCTTAAAAAATAAACAATACAAAATTTATAATGCTTTAACAAATTTTTTATTATAATTTATTTATTTCATAAACAATCCCTCTAAATTAAGATAAATGATACATGTACAGAGTTACAAGATCTTTCGATTTAACACATTTATAAGACATTTTTTACAACTAAATATATACAATAATCATGCTAAAGTTATGTATAAATATATGATTTTAGCATGCTGAACCACCTTTAACAGGTTTTGTACAACTCGAGATAAATATTACAGAAATCAACTGTTGATTTTTTTAAAGTAAACTTTTGGTAAATACCTAGTTAGAAACAACTGTTTAACAAATAAAAAGAATATGCCAGAGGACTTTATTAGCCTACAGAAAAACAAATTTAATGGCCATTGAAGTTTATGTAGATACTAAGTTAGTAATTTTTGTTTTAAAAAAGTAATCCATGATACATTAACCTATATATATATATATATATATATATAGGTTAATGTATCATGGATTACNCTAATATATATATATATATATATATAAAACTCCACATGTTAATGACTTTATAAAATACTACATTTAAGAACAAACTTACGCAATTTTAAAAGAGAGGACAAGTTATAAAATTAAAAATATCATCTTTGTAATGTGTAAATAAGGAAACATTGAACAATGCAAAATATGATAATAAAAATGGGATTTTTTGACTACAGTGTACAATCAATTGAGTGGTGCAGCAAAAGTTGACAATCCTCAAAATTGTCACAGGTTAATGTATCATTAAAATGAAATACTGTAGTTTTTGGAAAGTTTAACTTTGAAATTTTGATTTAATTCTATTTATGGATAGTGCTAAGTGTCATTCAACAGATAAAACATTCAATAATGTGAAAGTTATGTTTCTGTTCCCGAACACTACAGCCTACTGTCAACTACTGGATTAAGGTATAATCCAGGCATTTAAGTTGCAATATAGGAAGATGCAAATGAGGAAATCAGCTTCTCTGGTGTCAGAATCTGCACCTGTAGTTCAACTAATTAAATCATTAAGTGTCCTAGATGAACTGAACTGGATTAGTACGGCCATCAAAAAAGTAAATCTGTTCAAAAATGATTTTTTAAAGCAGGATTTATAATTTCATCTGAGATCCAGAGAAGATAAATGAAAGTGACAAATATTGAGAGGAACACAAATAAAGGTTTACGTCGGTTGGTATCAAAAATATGCACCCAAGAGATTTTGTAAATGTAGATAAAAATTTAACAGTTCTTTCTACTTCTGAAATAAATGCAGAACTGATAAAAGAGAAAACAGAGATAAGCGATGACGGTGTAGAAAAGTAAGTAGAAGTCACTGAAACAGATCAAAGTAACTGCAAAATAAAATCTTGTTCTGATGTACTAGAAAACTTTCACGACATCAGAACTTTAATAATGATGATGATGAAGAACTGTATTATAAGACTATTTACATTATCAGTAATCAGGAAAAAAGTTTGCTTTTTAAAAAGAATAAACAGCCATAAATAGATGATTATTTCATAATGTTAATTATAATGTAATAAATTATGGTTCAGTTCTGTTCATTTGTAATTATGTATTTTTTTAAAACTTTTTTTATTATTTGATACTGTTTGGAATCTTCTATATTTTTTGGAACAACAAATTTTTTTTTATAATAGCAACCACCTGTTAAACACCAGTCACTTAAGCACGATCCCGTAAAGAAGTGTTGTTCAGAGAATTTACTGCATTGCATAAGCTGAGTAATAAATCATACAGGTCGTAAAATTTTTTTTTTCACCTTTAGAGAAAGATATGCAAGATTAAATGAAAACCTATTTGATGTTTTGTTTTTGGCTTTCCGTTTTATCAAGACACTTTTGTTTTTCAGCCCCATTGTCTAGTTTTTCCACTCTCTAAGCATGATTTTTTCCAAAAAAATATTTGTCACTAAGCAATTACTCTAGCATTAGTGCTCTCGGACTAAAAACCCAAATTTGGTTAATCTAGGCAGTAATAAATGACAACTGAAACATTATAACAACATCCAAACCACCACAAAAATGATAGCAATACTTCAATACAAATCAGCATTTTTTTTACAACAAAAAGATAAACACATTTTATTTCATAATTAAAAAAATAGTATATACTTTAAGATGTATTCAAATTAAATACACCTATTTAAAATTTCAAAAGTCTTAAGACTGTTTCTTTAAAGTTCTGTCGTCAAACAAAATTACGTTTTTTACATAAAAGAATAAAATTAATAATAATAGGCTATTTTCATAACTTCTGAGAATTGGCAACAGTTCTTCATGACTGTGCGATCAAGTTTAGCCTATACTTAGCCTGCACCCTCACAGTAATTCTCATGTAAAACACCAATAATGTAAAAAAAGCCAATTTTGTGAAAATGAAACGAGTTTGTCATCTAATTTCTCAGGGTTGCCACTCAAATCTGAAAAAAAAATTCCCTGTACATATTATAAGCGATATATTAAGAGGAAACAACAATTACTGAGCTATAGTGGGCTAACTATATATATTAGTCTTAATTGCTAGAAAAACAGCTGAACATACTTAAATAATGCTATAGTAAATGAAATAGTTTAGTATAGCTGAAATATCATGTTTAAATATCCTATAGATTACGCTATGAGTAGTCACCATTTTTTAAAAGACAAAAGATAGAAACAAAATTCCCTGTATTTTCCCAGTTTGTAAAGAAAAAATCCAAATTCCCTGTATTTTCCCTGTTATTTTAGATGATTTTCAAATTCCCTGTATTTTCCAGGTTTTCCCTGTGGAGTGGCAACCCTGTTTTTCATCAAAAAGTTTTTTAAGGCTGTATTATCTGTGCTCATAAAATTTTGCAAAAATGGAGAATTACTAATTGCTATTGAAAATTTTGAAAAAAATAAAAATTACTAAATTGATAATGTTTTTTAAAATTAATAATTATAAAATATTTAGATCATTTATCTGTTCTGAATGGCAAGATGGTACATAACTGTGACTTTTTTATTTCCCAGGCAAAAGAGTTTTGAGAAACACTACTGAGAGAGATATGTAAAACTATATTCCCATACAAATCACAAAAATTTTAAAAATTCATAAAATAATCAACACAAATTGTAACACAATTAAATAAAATGATACACATTTGAAGGCACACTTAGATTGAGTGTACATGTTTCAAGCTGTAATAAAGTCTGCAAAAGTGAAGACTATATGTGACATGCTTTCACTAATACATGACTTCCCATGTGTCGCATAAGATTTCCTTTTTGAGTGAAACTTTTACCACATTCTTTACAGGTGTGAGGACGTTCCCCTGTATGCGTCATAAAATGAATTTTAAGAGCAGATCTCTTAGGAAATAATTTTCTACACACGTTACACACCCAAGGACTTGAATAACTGGAAATGTTACTGGAATTAAAATTGTCTGGAAAAAAGAAAGAGAAAACTATTGTAAGAAATTAGAATTGAAAATAATTTTCTTACATTATAAAAAAATGCTGCCAGCTCTAACAATGCTGTGTACATGTTTTATCTCAAGTATGCTTAAAATAATGCATTTTAAAGCAGAAAATACTTTATAGTTTGGCAAAAGTAAGACTTAATTTTTTAAGGATGTTCAATCTTAAATACATAAAAAAGGGCAATTCAATAATAAATTTCTTGAAAAATAGCTTGCCATATTTAACAAAATAAACATAAAAATCAAAATAACTATTAGTATTATTTTATTTTTTTAAATTCAATTGATATACACAAATTTTGGTATAATTTTTACAAATGCGAGCTAACAGATTTTTGAGAACTTAGTTTACATAACTTCGATCTAAAGTAACACTATAACAGGGTACGAAGCCTGATTTTTCAACAAAAAATAAGTACTTTTTAAGCACTCAAAATTTTAATTTAATCACTTTAAAAAAAAAATTATAATTAGGATCCGCGCAGTAATAAAAATTATTTTTCTCTATCATTTAAAGTTCTTAATTTATAAACATAAAATCAATAAAATTCAAAAAGATTTTTAAAAACATTACATAACTAGTTACTGATAAATAGAGCAGAGAAAATTGTGAAAATCATGAATTTTTTTGTAATTCAGGACGACAATCCACACGGCAAAGAAAAAATCTCTTTTTAAAAGATAGAAAATTAAGCACTTTTGACAACCCCCGAATTAAAAAAGCACCTTCTAGGGCTTTCAAAAAAAACGTAAATCAAAAATAAGTACCTGTAAGCACTTTTTAAAAATGCATGCATGGAACTTAAGATTTGTTTTAATACGTTTAAGTTTAATATTTTAAGGTGAAAAACAAATTCAATGTAAGAAAATTTTAAATTAAAATTCAATGTACCTTATGGCAAAAATATATATAAAATAAAAACAAGGAAAGAAAATGTAGCAAATTTTTATAACAATTTGACACAACACCCAAACATTAAATCTTAAACACACATAAGTTTTGAAACAACCATTTAAAAAGTTTTATAATTCAATATATCACATACAACATATGTACAATTTTTACAAAAGTGATCAAATTGATATTTGATAATGTAGTATGCATAAGTAGTATGCATTTCCACATAAGTTTTCAATAAAATGGGATGGCTACAAACTTTTACAGAGTGATTTTATTAAATTTCCGCAAAGTTTATATCTGATGGAATAAATTCGATAATTAATTTTTCAGTAATATCTTATCTCTTATACAGAAAATATTGCAAAGCATTTATACCAACGATTAGCACTAAAATTAAACATTTTTTTTAAAAAAAGAAATTATAACTGGACGGATTTTTTTAGAAAAAGTAACTTTAGTAACTTAAACTTTAAAGTAATTGAAACAAACCTAACTTTTAGGATATTTTAATTGAATTACCTGACTTTTCCTTATTTTGTGACCATCCAGTGTAACCTTAAATATTATAAAAACAGTTTAAATAAAAACTGAAATTTATATTTAAAAAAAAAACAACTGAAATTTAAAGAAAATATATATAATACAATAATTATTATATCCGACAAGAGCTTTTATTCTGCTCAAATAATGTTTGACAATAAGTTTTAAAATTTGATACATGTAGCAGTACTAAATGCACTTTAAGAAAATACAATTTGTTTACTGCTAAATTACAAAAATGCGTGTTATTACTTTTTACTCCGAGGTCTTCAAATTATAACAAATACAATAGAAGATCCTTGTAAGGTAAATCTTGAAACAGGATGCTTTGCATTATATGGAGTTTTGTGTTATATAGAACATTTAACATGTTATTAAATTTATCTCACAAAAAGGGCAGTATGTATGAAACAGATCAATATTAAAGTTTTTAAAATAATTTTTAAATGCAAATAACTGACACAGAAATATGCACGTGAGTATTTATTATTTATAGAAAAAAATTTGAAATTATCAGTTACATTACAAATAAAATCCAATAAATTTATCAATTCTGGTTTTCCTTAGAGGTTATAAGTTTAATGCAGTAAATGGAGAATTGTGGTTTATAGAACTGAATTATATAGACCTTCTACTGTATTTACAGTCATTTTTACACAGTATTCACACTGTAATACTGTATTTTAGCCATTTTTACACTTCCATAGATTTAACAAATAAAAAAATCACCATAACCTGGAAATATTGCACCTTCAAAATACAACCATCATACGAAAAATATAGTTTTTACTCTTTTCATTTTTAACAAACAAGACATCACTTGATAAAGTCAATGTTTAGAAGCTATGTGTTCTAACATGTGTTGCTTAGAAGAGAATCGTTTCGGACAGAAGTTGCACACGAAGGGTCTCTCTCCGGTGTGGCTTCTTAAATGAGTCTTTAGGTTATCTTTTTGAGCAAAGTTTTTACCGCATTCGGTACAACTGTATGGTCTTTCTCCAGTATGAATAACGTAATGCCGGTTAAGTGAAGACTTTCTGCCAAATTGTCGGTTACATATGTTGCACACGTGACAAGAACCATGCTTACGAAAGTTGTAAGAATTAGAATTTGGAGCACCACCGAGATACATTTCCACTGCAAATAAAAAAAAAAGAAATGTATTAGCATTTCAAAATATTTATCAGTGCACTTATTTGTGTAAATAAACAGGTAATGCTCTGGATAAAAAATTGACTGATGGATAGACTGTTGAGTATAATGGTAGTACTAAACTCAATGGCGCAACAGCCCATGGAAGGCCGAGGTCTAATATGCCCATCCTAGTTTTCTTGACCTTGGGCTTTCGGGTACAAGACCAGATGCTCTGCTTGGGCGGTCAGCAGAATGAGGAAACCCCAGTGTTTCGTCTCCAAGGTTGCTTAGTACCCATTCTATCAATCCTCTGAAGGAATGAAAGTCCGAGTCAACCATGTCCGGCTTGAGAATGTCATGAAATTATCTGGCTGCAACTACAGTGAGCCCTTCTCCTTTTTGATCATGTCAAAAGTGAACATTACGTGCTCAGACTAAAGCAGTTACATACTCAGACTAAAACAAATAGGTAAAGTATAGAAATGGACATACAACAGTTTCAGTTCTATAAAAAAGAAACTTCCTTAGTGTCTAAACACCAAATGACAGTAGAAAAGTAAAGTCTCTTTAATTTTCTACTGTCTGCATGTTTGGGGAATGTAACATACTCAGAGTAAAACAAATAAAGAATAAAAATGGACATACTACAGTTTCAGTTCTATAAACAAGAAATTTTCTTAAGAGTCTAAACACCAAATGACAGTTAGCCTCTTTAATTTTCTACTGTCTGTATGTTTGGGGAATGATGGGAGTTTTAAAATTTTAAATGTCATTCTAGGAAACTTCTTTGCCAATAATAGACTTGACCAATAAATACCTTTAGAATGAGGCTCTGAGTATATAGATCTAAAACCTATCAACAAATATTTCAGACTGTTAAGATTTAATTCTTTCTAAGTTCAATGGTTTGCGAATCAAATTAGCCTAAATTTAGTCAGGGTTGCCACTCAAATCTGGAAAAAATTCCCTGCCCCCCCCCGCGTACATATTATAAATAATATAAAGAGGAAGCACAAGTACTGAGCTCTTGGGTAAGCTATAATGGGCTAACTAGCTGCCAACATAGAGAGAAAAAAATCCAGTAGATTTCACGAAATAATATAAGTAATCACGATAATTGTTGCATAATGAACTAAATATTTTAGAATGTAGGAAGTTCTAGGGATTTTTATAGTCATCAAAGTAGAAAAAACTGCAATATTCTTCTGTTATGATTGGCATTAAATATACTTGAAATGTTATGTATTATGTTTACTCATAATTTTGAATATTAATAGGCATTTAATTCATCAAACATAGTTCAAAGATTTTTTTAAATTAATTTAAAAAGAATACTGTGAGGAAAAATAAACTGAACATTTTAGAACAAAAAATGTTTTTAATTGATTTCTATAAATGAAGTATGTATTCGTATTAGTAATAGTTTTTAATTATTCAAGCAAGCAAGCAATAATCTGCACAAAAAATTAATTTCAAAAAGGATTTTTAAAGGAAACTTACTCAATTTTAAGGAATTTTCTAAAATTTACAAAAAGCAGGTGAATTTTAAATAAACCAGTAGACCAGAAGAAACTGGCAAAATCCAATAGTCTACTGGAAAATCCAGTAGAGTTGGCAGCTATGGGCTAACTATACTACTTTTAATATCTGGAAAAACTTTAAAAAGAAAAAAAGGAACAACTGAGCATACTTAAATAATACTATAGTAAATGAAATAGTTCAGTATAGTTGGAATATCACCCTTAAATATCCCACAGATTACACATCGAGTGGTCACCATTTTTAAAAATACAAAAATAAGAAATAAAATTCCCTGTATTTTCCCACTTGGTAAAGAAATAAATCAAAATTCCTTGCATTATCCATTATTTTAGGAGATTTTAAAATTCCCTGTATTTTCCAGGTTTTCCTAGTGCACCCTGTTAATTCCAAAACTTATCCCAAAGAATATGAAAAAAAAAACATTGAAACAAGAACAAAAACAAGTTTTTAATAGTTTTATAAAATCTATATCAGTTGTAACATTGTATCAGATGTTATATCAAATATAACATGTTATCAGATGTTACATTTACATCATATTTTCCTTTTATCAGATGAGTAAGAACTGTCAACTTAAAATTTAGAATCGAACAAGTTGTATTCTAAACATATTTCTGTCATAACACATATAAAAGATAATAAATCAAAAATATTCTGTACAACATTTAGTTACAGTGTGAACAAAAGGAAGAGAGAATATAAAATGATTAAAATAAAGCTTGATTTAAAAACTTTTAAACACAATTATCAGTTATTAACACACCCTGGAAGAATTACAAAAATAATAATTATAAATAAATACTTACATATTAAACAAATTAAATCAGTGTTTATTAATTTTTGTCCCAGTATTTTGAAACCTATCTAGGAAAAATAGATAAGAAAGAAGCTTCAGAGTTTAGAAGGATTAAATTACTGGCGCTAAAAATTCCGGGAAAGAAATTTCTGAAATGACTGGGATTGGTTACGGAACCTTCCGTTGCATTATTAAATGTTAGAATTAAATGGTGAAGAGATAAAACTTTAAGTGAAAAATTAAAGTATTTGACTCTTAACAAAAGAACAATGAAATTTTATGAATTTAGTTTTATTTCGTTATTAAAAATAATATTAACAACATTATTTCACTTACATTTTACAGAGCACTTTTGCATTAAGATAAACACCTTGATATTAAAAGTAATATTTGAATAACATTAATAATTATAATGTATTACAATTACATGACAATGTCCATTTAAGAGAGGTGACAACTTTTCAAACTAGCTATCAGTAATCAGAAATACAATATATATAACGTTAACAAATTCAAATTAGTACAATTTCAAGCAGTTGTTACTGCTTAATTCTATGTAAATACATACCTTATATTCATGAATTTACAATGAAGTAAAAAAACTAGTACTCGAGTGTTAATTTTTTTTCGATACTGGCTACAAACCACAAATTTATAAGGTTTTGGTAGAATTTTTACTCTTTATACAGAGAATAAACTTTTGCAATCAGGATTAAATCAAATGTAGTGCAATTTAAATACCATATTATACTGAACTAAAGAAAAATACTTATCAAGAACATAATTTTGACTAAAAAATCATAATAATCATGGATAATCATAATATAGATTAGTGGGCACCTTTGCAACTAGAGCACTTTACACAGAGTATAAAACTCTTTATACAGAGTATAACACTCTTTATACAGAGTATAAAGCACTTTATACAGAGAATGAACTTTTGCAATCAGGATTACATCAAATATAGTGCAATTTAAATACCATATTGTATTGAACTAAAGAAAAATATTTTACAAAACCATTAAAGTTATTTCCTATAAAGTGAATGCCAATTATTCTTCGCATAATTGGTGCAGTGAAACTTTGTGAGTCAATAAGCGTTGTTTAGTTGAAAAGCTTTTTAAACAGATATTACAAGCATATGGTCGTTCTCCTGTATGGCTTCTTACGTGCGTTTTGAGATTTGATATTCTAGAAAAACTTTTACCACATTCTTTACAGATGTAAGTTCTTTCACCAGTACATGTTAGATAATCTCTGTGATCACTGAAAAACAAAAAAGAATAAAAGAATATATCACAAATATAACAGGTATTTAGGGATAATAAAAGAAGAGTATGCAAGCAGAGCAGACTGATAACTTAAATAAGGAATACAAAAAATTGCAGTCATCAACTGTTGCACCACAAATTATAGGTTTAGAAAAATTTTTATATAATGAGACCCTTTTAAGGGTCTTAAAAACATGCAGGAAATAAGAGCTTTTACAAAGCTTTTTAGACACTTACAAACGCTTAAAGCAGAACACTTGTTTAAGTTTCGATTATAACCTTTTCTTCTGTAAATTATATTTACAATTTTTAATGTATATTCTGCAAGTAAAAATCTATTCAATTTTGTGTAAAAAATCTAATAATAAATTCTTTAAATCGAACACCAGTGTTGTAATGCGAAAGGCTTTTTTTATTATATTTATTTCTTTTTTTTAAATTGGAACACAAATTACTGCTTGGAGGAAGGGGGAATTTTTGATCAACAATTATCGAATCATTTGAAGTTATCAAAAAATTTTTTAACTTTAAGGTTTTATCTTATTGTTTTATTATTGCATCAATAATTTTCCCTCCATTCACCTAAAAACCAATTCCAAATATTTTTATTTGCATATTTATTTTAATTATCTCAAAAATCAGTTTACAATACATAGGAGTTTACAGATGAATAAATTATTTATTAATAAAACTTGAACTTCATTAAAGAAATTTTTCCAAACTAACTAAGTAACTCTTTACCAACCACTATTTCTAGAATAGAAACAGCTACAAGGTAATAGAAAGTAGAGTTTGTCTAATTTCCAATTTAACTAAATGTCTAGACAATTGTTTTCAAATTTAGCAAAGTAATTCTTCAATTTGCTATTATCATGAGCAGATTAAAATAAAATCTCTCTATTTCTTTTCTCAAAAGAAAGTAAAGATTATCAAGTGGAAATTAATACATAATTTCCTTAAAGTTCAGAAACTACATTCCCCCTTTCAAAAAGGTGATGAAATGTCGCACCTGGTGTTTTTTGGCCTCATTACACCACTGCTGAAAACTCAAAAAAATAAACTGTGACACAATGTCACCTCCTCTTCCACAGAGCATCTCTTAAACACAACAATTAAAATTTTAGGAAAGGCTTTCATTTGATGTAGAAGTCACCACATGTAGCAACCATGTTTTCTATTTCATTGTCAAGGTGATGAGCATTACTGGTTGTTTCTTCCCTAATAATGTTGGAACGGGAGCACAAATATTGTATCCTTCTCAGAACAACAACTGATCACCAAGATAGAAAATGCAGGGATAACTATGTCATAAAGATAGCAAAGCCAGGTGTGGCTTTCTTTATGACATTCCTTAAATTTTTGCGATTAAAAAACGGTCTGTTAAAAAAGGAAACTGTACAAAATAAATCATCTTTATACAAGTTTCTCTAAAATAAATTTAATTTTCAAGTGAAACTTACTTAGAAGAGACCTTTGCTTTCTCATGACTTGCGAGATGCCTTATGAGGTTTCCTCTCTGGATAAAACTCCTGCCACAGTCACAACAGGGGAAAGGTCGTTCTCCAGTATGCAAATTAAAATGCATTTTAAAGCTGTCATTGCTGGGACATAATTTGCCACACACATAACACACAAAAGCATTCATCTCAGCATTGAAGCAACAATCTAAAGTATTACTGGAATATTTGCTCACTAAAAGAAGGGAAAACAAAACTTGATAGTTTAGACACAAATTTTAATAACTCGATGTATGTTGATAATTGATGAAGTGTCGCCATATGTCCAAAAAGTCAAACAATGAAAAAAAATTTTGTTACTTACCTTTTTCAACCCTTAACCTTCCAATTACAAGCAAATTTAAAGAAATGATTACTACTTATTGATCGATTATACTACTTACTGATCAAAAACTTATTGGGACAGCCTTGGCCTGTCATAGGCTGTAGTGCCCAAGAAGAAGATCACTATGACGGTTTTAATAGCATTAAAAACAATTACAGAATTAGCAATTTCATCCAACAGTTTCAACAGTAATGCTATATAGTGGATAAACCTAACCTAATGTAAAACAAATATATAATATTTTAAACTCAAATGAAAATTTAATAAAAACATATTACAATAAAACTTCATGCTTGTATGGCATACACACTGGCCAACAACGGAGATTTTACTAACCAATCCAATTTTGGGTTTACGACTACTGATGTTCAACTTTGTAGCCTTGTAATTTTGAACCCAATCCTCCAGAAGACAAGGGAACTCCTGGATTAATTATTGGGAGAAATTTACTTTGTGAAGGACTTTTTTATGGAACTAACATGCATTTGAGTTACGTGGAGAGGAAAACAACGAAAACCTCCCACGGTTAGCCTGGCGACAAGGAGACTCTAACCCATGATCCTTCTACCACTGAAGATATTTCACGTCTACATTGTGGTCGATGCAAGCCGGGGGCGGAATTCGTATTGACCCGTCATTGCTGAGATTTGAACCTGGGTTCATCTCATTGAAAGGCGAAATGCTCTATCCCCTGAGTCATCACGGCTCGGCTTAAACTGTTAACACTCAACATACAGCAGTACTGGCAATAGCACCATCTGTTGAGGAATAAGAGAAGTACTTTTGCCATCGGTGAATATTTTATCAGGATTTTTTATTTTATTTCTTCAACAAATATGGAGAAATTTGAGAATATATAGGTAAACAGGAGGTAGTTGTAAATACAGGAGTCTTCGTTAAAAAACAGGACACTTGGCTTGTATGGGCATAGCATGGGAAAAAATCTAGTAGATTTTATAAAATAATATAAATTTTATGATAACAGTTCCATAATATTTTAAATATTTTTCATATAGGGAAATTTAGAAATTTTTATTGTCATCAAAATACAAAAGCTTTATTACACTAATTACTATAAATGGTCCGCAATATTTTCCATTTGTGATTGACATTAAATAAATTTGAATTGTTTTTCTTTTTTATTATTATGTTTACTTTTAATTTTAAATAATAGTAGACAAGTACATAAATCATTATTGACAATCAAAAGATTTTATAACTTAAAAAGGGAGTTCGGAATAAAAATAAACTGAAATTTTCAGATTATAGAAAAAGAAAAGCTTTAAACTGATTACTATAAGTGAGACTCGCTTTACTACATACTAGTAATACTTATTTAAAACCAAGCAAGTAATAAATTGTGTTAATATTCTATTCCTATATGGATATTTTTTGAAAACTTACTCAGTTATAGGGAAAATGTTCTAAAATCTTCAAAATGTTCCAAAACCAGAAGAATATTTATTATATCAGTAGAAAATGACAAAATCCAGTAGTTTACTGGTAAATCCAGTAGATTTGGCAGCTATGCTATATGGTATTTGAAAGTTATTTTTACCACTCTCACTCTTTTTCAACTCTCGCAATAGTTTTGAAAATATCCTATTTCATGTATCTTATCTTTTTTTCAACATAAATTCCGGTTTTGGTTAATGGTTTTTAAAAGTCAATGTACAAATGCTTTTTAAAAATATTATGAAAATGAAATTAAGAAATAAAATCTACTTTTTTTTTACATTAGAAAATACCATTCCCTGTGGTGGATTAACAATATATTCAAAAACTTTAAAAATTATATGCATTTTTTAAATTAATTTTTCCACAAGTTAGTAAGCAGTGCCATTTTAACATATTTCTAGCTATTTAATATTAATTATTTCTTTTTGGTGCTTTTTTAAACTGCAATTTTACACGCAGCCAGATTGAAAATAGTTTACTAATATCAAAAACTAAATTTATAAGCAAAAATGCTCAACCTTGGGTACGATAAGCTATTTTTCTGTACTTGAAATATATGATCCAAAATAGCTTTAGCTAAACTATTGGAAAAAATTTCTTCATCAAAATTTTTACCACTCGTTAAACACCATTTTTTTCCTCTTAAACCAAGTTCATATGAAGAAGGGAAAAAAAACTGAAAATAGATATTTTTCACTCAAAGATACATTTGCAGTGATCTTTATTCCTTTGTAACAATGCTAAAAATTATGAGCAAAATCCAATTTTTAACAAAATAATAACAGGAAAACAATTGCATGGAATATAGAACTTAATTTACACAAGAATAAGGCTCAGGTAGTGCTTACTTAACTAGAAGTAAGGCAGATTGACAATAGTTATAAAGAAAACAGGGTTTTACCACAGTTTGATAGAAATTGCTATGTTAACCGCTTTGCTGTAAACAGAGCAAAATTAGTTAACAGCAGTGGTTTGCCATGTCAATTTCTTTTCATTTCTAAAAATGGCTAATGACATGGAGAAGTCTGTGTACCAAATATTCTACATTAATTCTGGTTTAATGACAGTGCCTAACAAAAATTAAGAAATATTTTATGCAAAAATAGGAAGAAAGAAACTTTTTGGGTTATGAAGCTTGTTTTTTGCAAGAGAAGAAATAAAAAGCTTGTATTATGATGCACTAAAAAGTATTTTTAGCATAAATAAAGCATTCTGAAACAACTAATTACTCATTGGCCAAAGAAAATTCACTAAACATAAAAAATACAGACTTACATAAAGCAATTCAAGAAAAATATCACACAGTAAGATAAAAAAAATTATAAATTTAGTTTCATTATAAATTTTTTGAAACAAGAATAACAGGACTTTTAAGAAAATATTTTAAATAAATGTTCCTTATAACAATGACATTAAAAAATTCTTTTCTTTAAAAAAAAAAGTTTCACTTATATAATATAACTCAAATTATATAGTAGAAAAGTCTTTAAAGTGAAAGTTACATGTGAGAATATAATATTTCTGCATAATGAGTTAATGCATATTTCATAAATGTCTTTGTTGCATACAAAAAGAAATGATCAAAAAAGGTTTCCATAATATGCACACAAAAAAGAGAAGAAAATTCTCTTAGTATGGTGTAAAGAAGTTCAGGTTATGAGATATAACTTAATTGGTACTGTAGAGAAGTTTTCCAAGCGAATGATGATGAGTAATTACATGTCTCATGAGGTTCCCTTTTTGAGAAAAACTTTTGTTACATAATTTACATTTGAAAGGACGTTCTCCAGTATGTGTAAGAGAATGCATTTTAAGGCCCGATCGGTGGGGAAATATTTTGCCACACACATTGCACTGATGAATAGCAGAAATATCAGTAAAGGAACTGAAACTGGACTCGGCAGCATTACTAGAATGAAGATGCACTAAAATAAAGAAAGAAAGAATTATAAAAATCAAGAAACTTTTCAAACATTACAGAAAAAATATATATATAAAGACAAAGTATTAAAGAATAAAAATAAATTTACAAATAATGAAAATTACTTGCTGCAATACCTAATTGAAAAAACTATTTGAAAAACATGTTAAGAAACATACAATTTTTAGTACTGAACAACAGGGTGGCAAGACATAACTTGGACACAAATGCACTAAAATTTTAATGAAACAAGGAAAAAATTACGATCCATAACACAATGACAAAACATTTCAAATTTTGCTTTGATGCAGAGCTGTCAATGTGTCAAGAAAGTTTCAGCTATCAAGTTTCAGTTTCAATCTAGATTGCAACTTACCTACTGATATTTTTCTTGCATCAAGTTTATTTAGGAATCCCCAATTCAAATAAGGTTAAGCACAAATCCTCGTGTCCAAAACGGACCAGAAGGAAAAATCATTGGATTTAAATCTGGGGATTAAGATAGCTATTCTTTTGCTGTTAAATCAGGAAAATGACTTGAGTAAATTCAGTTCTGTGTGCTGCATTTATACACATGTTTGAGAGCATGTATTAATCAACACTTAACATAGAAGTTTCCAAATTTTAGTTGCAGATAAAAATATTTGGTTTCAAACTTCGTCAAGGTTATATCTTGTCAGTTTGCATACTACATAAATGGTGAACCTACTGCATTGATTCCACAGTTGCCACAGCAGAGTTTTAATTTGGGATCGAAATACTCGAATACGCCACCTGGGGAGAAGACCGGTTCCATTTCCTGACCCTCCTTCTCTTCTTAGTTGTAAAGGAATGTTCTACGACATTTTCCCATTTCTTAATATATTTTGTATTTAACTGTCAAGATTTTTTTTAAAAATTTCAATGTCACTTTCTTGAAGAACTATATTCAATGTAGTTTACAGTTCCACATAGTTTCCTAACTTGAAACTTTTTTATCTCTTTGAAAATCAAGACAGAAACTAACATACTTCCTTCTCCAATGAGTCTCCACACACTAATGGTGAAAGCATGTAAAGTGTTGCCGTATGTAGAGAGTTCTGCTCTACGCCAACTGCAGCCCATTTTGATTACACACAATGATTTATTGGTTGAAAAATTTAAAAACACTGAAAGAAATAATGTCCTCCTCAGAAACGCTGTAAAAAATTATAAAAACCGAATTTCACACACTATTAAATGAAACAATGCCCACCAGTATATCAATGCAGTTAGAAAGCATGGATGAGGTCATGGTTTGAAATGCCTTGTTTCAGCACCATAAGGAATTAATATAGTTGTCCGGTCTTATTCTTTACTGCAAATTCATAGATTACCTTATGTACTGACTGCATAATAATTATTTGCAATCAAATGGTAGCAAGTTATTAATTTTGATTTTGTACAGAACTTAGCTGATTAAAAATGTTCATTAACAATAAATTCTCAATTTGTATTTTGGTTTGAGCATCATTAATTAAAATCTCTTCTATTCACGACTTCCATGAAGGAAAAAAATGCTATTTGTGCAAAAATTCAATAATCTGCATTTCAATCACCTTAATATATTTCTTAATAAAATTGAAAACCAGTAATATATTTTCTTTAAACAGTGGAACACAACATTTTTTTCTTCTGAAAATAGCACTTTTTGAAAAAGAATACTAGACTTGATAAATTACCACATTTTTGAAGTATTCATATTTTGCATGCAGCAATTTTTTTTCTTCTCAATTACAAAATAATTTGTTCCCTGTCTTTCAGAATAAAGAATGGAAAGGTAAATTAGAACAAACATCTCTTAGTTTTTTATAGGTTTTTATTCTAAAAAAGTAAATACATAAAATATTCTTATAACAAAAAACATAAAATAAAATAAACTATTAGTTAAGTTTTCTTATTTGAATCCCTTATAACAATCTTAGAAGTTTTTAAAAGAAGTGTTGGATAAATGCTTCTTTATTTTGTAATGAAGATTTTTACACATTTACAATTTAAAGACCCTAACAACTTAAGAAATAATCTATGCACTGAACTTAAATGTTAATACTAATACAGAGATATTACACAAATTTTTTATAAAATTTTTTGTATCCTCAAAAAACAACATCGTTTGAAATACGTTAAGAACAAAATTATTTCTAAAATGTCTTGTTTAAAAATAATTCGAAATGAAAGGCTTGGGGCAAAGTTATAATAATCCACATTTTCAAACTATTTAGGAGAGCATTTTAGGTCAAATACACCATGAAATCATCAAGATGTTTTGATGTATTCTGCGGTTATCTAGAGAAATTCCCTAAAATTTATACCTGAGGACAATATTAAGAAACAATTTGATTGAAATGTTACAGTTGAAAACATTGTGGCTAATTACTATGTCATATCAATTTTTTTGTATGAGGTAGTTTCTTATTTACACACTTATTACAGGGATACTGAGAGGAAATTATTATGAGGATTAAAAATTTGCATTCTCCTTTTATATTTAAGTAGTAAATACAAGTATCGAAATGAATAGTAGTATGAATAATAGTTATAAATAATTATTATGAATGAACAAGTATGGAGAAATTCTATAAACTACATTTCACCGTAAACCATACTAACTTTGCTGGTGTAAACTATGATAACTAAAGTGAAGGTGTTTCGATAATTAAGCATAGGCCTCACAGGAGTCTGATATTTGAGGAGAACGTGCGAGACGAAATTAATTCTTTTTTTTCCATATCAGTTAAACATTTGAAAAAAAATTAATCTATTTCTTATTCTTACCTGCAATGAATTAAAATCACGAATGCTGGATGAAAAATTTTCAGTTCGAAATACTGAAGGGGACTTAATAACCTAGGGAAGGGGGGAAGATAATTTTAATTATTGACAGGGATGCATATCCACCGTTACCACCACCAATGTCGCCCATGCAAGAACACAAGCTTTTTACATTATTTGTTAAGAGATTACAATTTCTAAGACGAAGCAAACACAAAATTGATATAATTGTTTGTTATTAGTTCTAAATGCAATTCTAAATTCAATTTTTTTCAGTAAATAATAAAAAATGTGTTCCTTAATAAGAGTAGTACACTTAGTTTTAACTTAAGACCATTGTAGCATAAGAACATACTTCAACAGGAACAGAGACATTTAAAAACAAGACACTATTACATCAATTCCCCTTTGTTTAACATAATAATCCAATAATAATAATTTTTAAAAATCTAATACCAAATTGAATATACATATAAAACATAATGCCATATGTAGTCACTATTTATAAAACAAGGAATAAATATATCTAGTTTACCATATCCGTGAATATTGCCTATAAATTCAAACACTACCACCAACAGTAACTTCCTGACTATGAAATTATCCTGGTTTTCTTTTAGCTTGTGGGGAAAAAAATGGTTTTAGAAAAAATTCTAAAAATTGAAATCAAAGACGTCACATGCAAAAATTGTATATACAATCATCAAAGTTTATTATGGTGAAATGTTATGTGATATGTCAAACTTCGTTTAGTAGAGAAACATTTATCGCATAAGTTGCAGGAAAAGGGACGTTCTCCTGTATGACTCCGCATATGTACTACAAGATTTTCTTTTCGACGGAAGGTTTTGGAACAATGGTTACAGTTATAAGGACGTTCTCCAGTATGTTTGAGATAATGCCTGATGAGTAAAGATTTTGCACCAAAATGCTTGTTGCAGATATTACACACATGAAGCATAGTATCCTCATAAGTGTAGTCAGAAGCAGACAGTTGAATGTCACTGGAACAAGCTATACCTAAACATTGAAAAGAATAAATAAATATAACATTAGATTTTCATGTAATACCAGAACATGAAGTTCAAAAATAATAGTTTCTCAGAACTACTACTCATTAGATCTACTACATAGTAGAACTATTACTCAGTAAAAACGTGACACCAACTTGCTTGTTATAGATATTACACACATGAAGCACATTACCCTCATAAATGTAGCCAAAAGTAGACAATTCAATGTCACTGAAACAAACAATACCTAAGCACTGAAAAAATTAACAAATATAGCATTACTTCTTCATATAATACCAGAACACGAAATTCAAAAATAACAGTTCTTCAGAACTACTACTTAGATCGATTGCAGAATGTTACATTGGTACTATTGAAAAGAAGTAGTATGAAATAGCGCATAGTTACAATTTCTGCATTGCATATTTCTCTAGTCTTCTAATGCAATATTCTGCAATAAAAAGTATTAGATAATAGATTAATGATCGTGAAGCTGTTAGTCGCAACTAACAGTTCACTATGACATTTTCGGTAAATCATATTAACGCTTTGGTAAACTGTTCATAATTCCTCTTCTGAGCTGATAAACTAATTAAAATTTTTTTTTAAGGGTGGGTAGCTCATAGCAGGGTTTAAAAATGGTATAGTAGCTCAGATGCTTCTTAAGTTGGGCGATCACTGAACTAAATAAATTTATCAAACATGAATACCTTAGGGTGGAAAATTGGTCAACAAGGATGAGGGGAATATAAGCAATGCTCAAGTTTAAAAAAAGACACCTTTATCTGAAAAAGAAACATAAAAATTGCAAAATTGATGAAGTCTTGTAAAAAAAAGGTTAGTTAGAAAAAAGCTAATATAAACAGGGATAGGAGTTAGCGGTTGGCTAAATTTTGCTGATGTGGAGAGGTTTTTAAAATCACCAAAAAATGTGCTATCATAATACCTGAATGATCCCTAACTGGTATTTAAATTAAACTAGATCTCTCTAATATTTGATTAACTGTGAACTGAAAAAAAGTTTTTCAGTCTTCAATATTTTTCCACAAAGAAAATTAGTCTCAAGTTTGCAATACTATATTCTCTTATGGATTTAATGAGTAAATAATTAACAAAGCACATTAAAAAAGGTGTTAAAACTATGTTTAAATTTAAAGAAAAATTATTGTTATAAAAAATGTTAAATCAATCAAAATTGAGTAGGCTAATACAAGGCTGCGAATTACTTTGGCTTTTGCAAAAAGAAGTCGTAGTCAATAAAAAAAGTAAATAGTTCAGAATGTTTGGTGATTTTGCCAACATTTTAAAAACCTCGCCACGAGAAAGCTGGAACAAAATTTCGCTTCATATGTACTTTTAAATAATTTTGGTGTAATGATGTAGAAAATAACTTTAAACTAAATTCATAAAACAAAGAATCATACATTAAAAAATAAACTTAGATATCACTCGAAGTAATTTTCCTAAAAACTGTAGAAAGTTGGCTGCTCTGCTAGTATTACAGCAGTGAAAAAAAAACTTGATATGATGAAACATTTATCTCATTCCTTTTAAAAGTGTTGTCATTAGGCTTCAAACATGGATAAATAAATTTTTTAATCTTCCTTTCAAATAATAAACTTTAAAAGACAATCCTATGAATGAAACTTATTGAAACAATATACCTGAGAAATAAAAAAAATCATGAGAAGTTTATTATTTTAATTTTTATTTCTCAGAAATTATGCAACAGATTTTACTTAAATGAAAACTTTTTCTTCTGTAAATAAAAAAAAAGTTTGACATATGTACAACTGCTATTAAGGCTTGCAAAAATACAATGAGAAAAGTGCAAATGGTATTCATACACATTTATATAGTAATGAAAAATAGCCTTACTCATGATATAAGACATTTTATCAGTAACACCAATTGAAACAAAGTATTCTATTACATAAAATGTGGGAAAATATATATTTTTCTATTCAGATACAAATTTCTTACAAAATGTCCAAATATAAATTTGAGCACAAACTGAAATGTTATATTCTGTTAAATAATAATAATCTAAAAGACAAAAACTAAAGTTTGAAATCATTAGAATTATTCCCATGAAATAAAAACTCAAAAAAGTTGTATTTTTAAATTTAAATTTTTTAGAAACCACACAATTAGGGAAATACTTTTTTCTCCTTCAAAGAAGTTTATTTCGCAGGTATTGCATAAGGATAACTTATATTAAAGCTTTTTAAATACAATTGGGAAATAGTAAGTTAAAGCTAAACCAAATTAATACAGTAATAAGAAATAGCTTTACTAATAATATGATAAATATTAAATGTAACAGCTGTAATCATAGCTGCCAACATGGATAGGAAAAATCCAGTAGATTTTGAGAAATAATATAAATTTTATAATTGTTGAATAATGTACAACTAAATATTTTACACATAGGGAATTTTTATAGTCATCAAAATAGAAAAACTGCAATATTTTCCAGTTATGATTGACATTTAAAATGTTACGTACTATGTTTACTCATAATTTTGAATATTAATAGGCATTTAATTCATCAAAGATAGTTAAATTATTTTTTAAAAAAAGAATTTAAAAAGAGCTCTAAATAAAAATAAACTGAAAATTTTAGAATTGTTTTTTTTTTTTTAACTGATTTAAAATGAGGTTCACTTCATCATGTATCAGTAAAACTTATTTAAATATTCAAGCATACATATTTTTTAATAACTTACTCAATTTTAGGGAATTTTTCTAAAATGTACAAAAAATCAGGAGACTTAATTAAACTAATGGACCAAAAGAGACTGGCAATATCCTATAGTCTACTAGAAAATCCAGTAGAGTAGGCAGCTATGTATAATTAACAACTTTACAAAATTGAGAAAAAATTATTCCTTATTTATGTATACAAATAAATGTTTTCAAAATATAAAGGTATATTGTGCACAAACTGAAATCTTGATAAAGAGTAGAAACTCACCCAGGCAACAAAACATATTTTGACCAAACTGACAGTAAAATTTGATATAACAAATACAAACAAAGTGTCGAATGTAAGGATACCTCTCATACTAGATATTATGCTTAGAAGCCACATGATACAACATGCTTTGCTTAGTACTGAAACGCTTAGTACAAAAATTACACCGAAATAGTTTCATTCCAGAATGGCTCCTCATGTGTCGTTGCAGATTCTCTTTTTGAGAAAAACTTCTGTCACATTCTAGGCAACTGTAAGGACGCTCACCAGTATGTATCACTTGATGCCTGCTCAGGTAATACCTAGTAGCAAACTGTTTGTTACATATGTTACAAACATGTAAAGTGCCAAGGTTAATAGAATTAGAATGTGAATATCCTGAAATACAAAGAATTTTATTGGAAAAATATAGAAACATATTTAATTAGGAACAATATTCAGAAATATTACTTTATTCTATAGATTCATTTTTAAGAAATTAGGAATATTAGTTTGTTTTAAAATTACCATAAAGATTTAGAAAAATTAATTTATTGAATATATAGATTCAGAATTCAGAAAACAGTTTATTATTATTATTATTTAGGCTTTTGCCAAAATCTATTGTGTTGCTTCCTGGAACAAAAATAATTTTTTCAAAATTATAGTGAAACTTGGTATTCTAACAACACATGTTTTCATATGATAAACCAAACAATTGATGTACCAATTTACACAATAGCTTAGAGCTTTATAAGACACACATAAGAACTAGACTTCCCTGTCTTATGGCCACACTGGTAAGTTATTACATTAACAAATAATAACTAAAATAATTACTCAAATGAATATTTGTGAAAATAATAAAAAATTATATCAAACACAAAGAAAAAAATTATTATTTTAACAGTAGTAATATCAAAATAAATTTTATAAAAGACACAATGATTGATAGGATTATACATACATTAATTTGATTCCAGCAGTTTATCTATTGCTTCTGTTTACAATATTTTATTTTTTAATAGAATATTAATACTCAACATTTCTAGTACAACTTTTATTAAAAGTTGTATACTTTCTTTCCGTTGTAAATTTACAATTTAATATAGGGGCTTAAAATGTTTAGAAATTAACTAAGTTCTACTGTCATCAAAAGTCAGCCATTTTCGTTTACAAATTGCTGAAATAAATATGGTTTCAAAGTAAATTCTTCTGGCAAATAAATATTTAAATTATGACCAAAACAAACTTAATTCAACTCCTTTAAAAGGTAAAGGATTCACAAAAATAATTACTTTTAATAACTACAGCTACTTACATATTTAAAAATACTAATATTATTAGTAAGTTTGGTACTAAAATTCAACACCCCAGGCATCTCTTTTTCTTCCTTATCCCCAAAATTAGCAGGGCTAAACAATGTCCATGAAATTCATGACCCGGAGGAAGTCGGCCACCAAAAGTGGGCTATTTAGTATGTCCCATTTGTCCAGACCAAGACAGTCCAAGATATGTTGGGGAAAAGCCTGCATGTTGTGGCACTTGGGGCAATTTGGGAAGATTTTAACAATGCCCTCGAAAAAAAGGGACTTAAGGTGGCCGCTGATAATTTTCGATGCCAGTTTCATGAAGGTGAGTGAAATTGGACTCATCAAAGTTTCATCTGTCCCCTACTTACCCAGAGTGTCAGCGATATCATTGCCCAGAACCCCAACGTGAGAAGGGATTCATTGGAGGTGGACTTCATGCAATTGTGAGAGGATTTTAAGTTTGTGCAGGATTGAATCTCCTGTTTTGTCTCTCACTTTCCTCCAATGCGATAAGTACTGTATGGAACTGAGACTGTCAGAGAGATTCAGATGTTATTGTGATCCTGCAGTGTTAGAAGAGAATCCAGGGCAGTATCAATAGCAATGAGTTCACTTCTAAAAACTGAGCAGTAATCAGGATTCCTTTTGAGGATGTTAAGGGAGTAATTAGTTGATTTAATGTAGACACCGCTGACACCCCAGGCATAAATTTCATTGAAAAATATTTTAAATAAATATTGTAACTAAAATAAAATCCTCCTTGTTAAACACTTTAATAGTAAATATTCAGTGAAAAAATAATAAGAATTCAAGCAAATATTCAGTGAAAGGAAAAAGAAAATTTCTATTTTTGTGTGTAATTATTACACATAATCTCTATGTTCCTACATTGACCACAAGAGTTTCTGACTTCAAAAAGACAAAACCCTATAATAAGCATTTCAAAGAAAACTCAACCCAATGTGCTTTTTCTCCAAATGATTATAGTCTTCTAGGGTCTGAAAACAACATTGGTTTGACCTACTAAAATCTGACTTGAGCCACCACACAATTAATTAGAAGTAGAAATTTAAATTTATTTCACACTTATTACAATAGTAAAGTAAGTAATTTAAAAACAATAAGTTGCATTAAAAGAAATATCAAACAGTTACACATAATAAAAATTAAGAAGTAGATTAATTTATGAGATAGATGTTAAAGTAAAAAGAAAATCTATTTAGAAAATTTTATATCATATACTCACCAATAGAGAGCATTATATGTGCTTAATTTTTGAAGAAAAATAAACATTTCTGTAGCACTGCTTTCGACAACAAACCCAGGTCACTGCAAGATTGCAACCTGAATGTGCTATATAAATTTGCCTAACAATAACAGGACCTTTTAATGCCTTTTTTTTTAACTCGCCTTCCAGTTTCAATATCGAGGGACTATCATGGATTCAGGCATACGGGCACCAATCAGCTGCTCATTTTTAACGACTTGGTGTTCAGCTGTGATGTCTCAGAGGATAGAACATTCGCCTTCTACTGAGGTGAACCAGGTTCGAAACCTGGTGATGGCTGGTTGATTCGAATTCCGCACCAAGCTTGCACTGACCACAGTGCTGACAAAAAATATCCTCAGTGGTAGACAGATTATGAGTTACAGTCCCCTTATTTAAAATATTTTTTCTGTCTTACATGATACATTATATTTATGTACACTTTCTTTATTCTTTTTATTTCTCTTTTTCAATTTTTAAGTATATAACAAAATTCATTTTTTTTTATTGTTCATGTTCTTTTTACTTCATTTATTGTTTCAGTCATTAGTTTTCTATTAAACAAATGTGTTGCACTTCATTGTCCTTGCAAGACTTTCAATGTTGTTTACTAAATTTTATCGTAAATTTTTTTTATATGTGTTATGTAATATGCAATTTTTCATAATAAAATCCCACTGATCAGGCTAGCTCACTGGGTTGTGGCGAGCTGGACTGGTAGCCAGACGTGGACTACACGGGTAACGGTTTTGCAAACCTAGGTACGTGTCCACGTCTGGAATGGAAGAAAAAAAAAGTCCTCTTGCCGTCAGACTAGCTGTGGGAGATTTTCATGGCTTTCCTTTCCTCTCCTCTCCATGCAAATGCGCATGAGTTCCATCAAAAAGTCCTCCATGAAGGCAAATTTTTCCCAATACTTGATCCAGGAGTTCCCTTGTCTTCTGCTTTGGGCTCAAAATGACAAGGCTACAGAGTTGAACATTGATAGTTGTAACCCCAAAAATTGGGTCAGCTGTTCAACAACGGTTATAAAAATATAATAAAATGACTTGGTGTCCAGTCAAATTCCCTTTTTCTAAGTCGTGACACACTTAACTAGGCACACCTGTCAATTTTGAAACAAGACTATAAGGTATAATCTTTCTACTTGCAATAGTTTAAAAGCCAAACAGAGGAAATATCTCATTGCTGGACTCTTAACAAAATTTTAACTTATTTATTTATTCATTTTTAAAAAAAAAGTCTTTTAAAAAAGAAAGAAATAATATCATTTTAAAGTTAACAACTCTAATTTATTTAATTGTGAGTTCTTTACAATACTTTAGAAACTTCGAAAAATATTTTTTTCAAATATTCCAAATGCTTCATTTATTAAAACTACATCATAACATGATCATCATAGAAATACATAAAAAAAAACTACTTAATTTCTAAATTATTTTTTTAAACATAAAATTAAATTAAATTTATAAATGTACTTCTAATTTATAAATTTTTAAGTACATTTAATTAAATATAAAAATAATTTTATTAATGTCTGAGTACATTTAAACAGATACATTTTTTAAGAATCTAAGGAAAAATAACATCTAAATAAATAGCAAAAGATGAAATAGAAATTTGCATCAGAAAATTAGAAACAGAAATAAAAAAACAAAACAATTTTTTTGTTCAAAAAAAAAACTTTAATTACACTTTGCCCTGTTTTTGTTGCATTGTAAAGTAAAGATGAATAATTTTTTCGCAATTCTAAAAGTAATAAAAAATTAAGTTTTTAAGAAGAAAAAAGAACATTATTAGAAAACTGAACAAATATATAAACAAACAATATGAATCATCATGTTTATCATAAAATCAAATATATTTACTCAGTTTTCAAACAATTTTTTTTTATTTCTAATATTTTCCTGAATAATGAAGTAACATATTAATTGCATATATATATTTTTTTGGTTTCTTTGAATACAATAAGGAAATCAGTTCAGATCAAACTATGAATCATTAACTATATTTAACAAAATGTGTGGTTTTCTTTGACCTCATATAAAAATTACACGTAGATCAATGAAGAGTGATACCCTTTTCAGAAATTAAGTAAGACATTGAAATTGATAAATTCAGCAAAAATAAAAAAGAAAACCAAACTTGGTAATTTAGAATTTTAAATAACAAGTTGGAGAATAACATATGAGTTACAAATTTAAAATCGAATTGTGTAAAGAGAGTGCATGGCGCAATAAACACTGTTTTGAAACAAAGCTTTTAGAGCAAAAGGCACACTTAAATGGTTTCAATCCTTCATGGCTTCTTATGTGTCGCTGAAGATTTTCTTTTTGAGAGAAATGTTTGCCACATTCTGCACAAGAGAATGGGCGTTCCCCAGTGTGTGTACGGTAATGTCTATTAAAATGGCTGCTTGCAAATTGTTTGTGACATATGTCACACAGATAAAAGGAGTTGGATTTGTTGGACTTGCAACTAGAATTTGGGACATCAATGTAATCATTATCTGTAAAGAAAGAAGAATTAGTATTTATGCATACAATGAAAGAACAAAGTACAGATTTTTATGAGAGACTAAGACCTTCAGACCTAAAGGAATACTTGGTTAATCTTAGAAAGACATAGTACCTGTCTCCTGATTAAAGAATTTGGGCAGTATTTTTACCTGATTAAAGAATTGCAATTGTATTTTCAGCAAATCTATAAACTTAACAGTTAGAACTAAATTCAGAAGCTTTATTTAAACTGTGGCAGTTCTTTTTATTTTGAGGTACAAAAACTTACACTTGTCTAATGGCTTTTTCTATCTAGCCTGCTTTAGAGCTCTCTTAGCATCAACAATAAGCTGGAGATGTACTAATTAACAACTACCTCCACTCATCAAATACACTTATCTAGTCTGTTTTTTTTATTCCTTCTTAAGATCAGAAATAAGATGGACTAGTTTAAATCTACCTCTTACATACTCCTCTTTAGTCCAATTTTTGGTGTCCTTTTGTCATCAGAAATAAATTGAAGAAGTACTAGCTTTAAAATTCATCAAAAATGACATGCAAATACATCCAAGTGAGTCTAACTACATTTTTTTTTATTATCATTTCAGATTTTTTGATAAATTTTTTTCTTTTTATTATTTTTGAAAGGAATTTTACCAATAGTATCAACAGATTCGAACATAGTTGGTAAATGCAGTAAAAAATTAGTAAATGTTACAGCTAAATAATACTTTTCTTAACTTTTTGAGAAACACAAAATTCTTTTCAAAATAGGCTATTTTTAATGAAATTCTTGGAAATAAATACTTTTCTCCTTTAAAACACTGGATTTTTTAAAAATTTTATTGCTAATAACAAAAAAAATTATTTATCTAGATTTAGAGATATCTTTTAGTATCTTTGAATCGAACTCTAAGAACAAAGGACCTCTAAGAATATTTCTTCCACTGCGACAAATATATTCCAACATATTTCAATTTAAGTAAATTATTTAAATAACTTCCATTTGAAGAGCATGAAAATCACTATAATCGTCTAATGTTTTCAGAATGAAGCTTTTTTTTTGCTTTTAAACTAGTTTAAAAGAATTATAATCAATTCAATATCTTGCTGCTGTTGTTGTTCTCATCCCCATGAGCAGCAAGGCGAAATCAGGTCCATCAGCTCGTTCATTCTGAGAAAGTCTAGCACCAACAGGGGAGGTTGAACCTGGTCCTGCCTGGTAAGTCTCAGACAAGATAATATGTGGTCAGGGGAGGCCTGGGCAGCAGAACACTTAGCGCAGATTTCAAAATGTTTATTACCATCGATATAAGTCATTGATGACAGATGTCCACTGAGGAAACGTAATTGCAGATTCAATATCTAAAACATAAAACAATGTGAAAGCGGATAGGTTAAAGAACTGGCATAAATCTTTTTCCAGAGTAATTAAAAATACTTTTAATGTGTTTGCACAAAGGCTTTTTAAAATGAATATTAATTAAATGAATAAAACATTTGCATAAGGAGAAAAAGCACAAACAGGGCAAAAATTATGAAATATAAAAAAAATCTTAGTATTTTAATGAACAAAATCATTACAAGTCCATTGAGGAGTTTTCAATACAAATAAATAAATAAAGGCTTCAGTTAGTTCCAATAAGGCTGCAAATTTCAGTTAATGTAATTGTTGGGAAACATAGAAAAACTCTAAATTGAAAATAAACACCAATAATCTCTAAACTACACCAATAATTTATAAATACATCGAAGAAAAAGATAAATACAAATACAGGGTGTTTCATAATCACCATCAAATTTTAGATTCCTTGTCTAAAGAAAATAAAAAAAATAAGAACATCGAACTATTTCGAGTGCTGTATGAAACTTGAATGTAATATTTGACTTGACTCTCCTATCAATTTATCTGAGCAGAAATTATGTTCAGTTAAATCAGTTTTTTATCTCATTAATCTCCTAATCCTCATTAATAATTCATCAGGTTTTCATAATATTTCCTTGCTTCACACGTAAATTTTATTTTTGGACTCCAAATGTCTATTTTTTATTTTCACCTTTGACAAGGATAAAAAAAAAAAATTAAGACTAATGTAAGTGATTATAAAACACCCTGTTTATTTTCTCATCATCATTCATAACAGAAGTTATCAAACAAGAAATCTGTAAAAGAAATATTTTCTTGTCTAGTAATTATTTAAGACACTTAATTATTTAAGCATTAAATAATTTTAATTAATCATATACGCTTAATAATTACTTAAAAATTAACTGATTACAGTAAGGCAATGATTATCTAAATGTTTTGGGACAAGACCTATTTTGATAACTCAAATATTCGGATTACAAGAATAACACAATTATACAATTATTTAATTGATAATTGAACTGAAATTTTTTTTTTTCATTTGAAAAAAGTGTAGGAGCAAAAAGAAACTTTTGAATCATAGTTTAGAGCTATTTATTCCGTAAACGGAAGTATTTAGATAAATAATGTTTGGATATTGGAGATTCTACAGAACTTGATATGCATATATTAAGTACGAAAAAATTAGAAGTCCAAGTTCAAAGCAATTTAGTTTCTGTATTACTCAGTGGAGCTTCAGAAAAAAAAGAATAATTTTGTACAAAAACAAACAACAGAAAAACATAACAAAACGCATCTGATTGCACAATATATAATTGTTTAGAAAATTTATGACATGGTAGCCGCCATTTTTTAATTCTATAAAGCTTTGAAGAGAAAAAAAAGCACAAGATCAAAGCAACTAAATTATTTTANTATACGCTTAATAATTATTTAAAAATTAACTGATTACAGTAAGACAATGTTTATTTAAATGTTTTGGGACAAGACCTATTTTGATAACTCAAATATTCGGATTACAAGAATAACACAGTTATTTAATTGATCATTGAACTGAAAAATATTTTCATTAAAAAAAAAGTGTAGGAGCAAAAAAAAACCCTTTTGAATCACAGTTCAGAGCTATTTATTCCGTAAACGGATGTATTTAGATAAAGAATGTTTGGATATTGGAGATTCTACAGAACTTGATATGCATATATTAAGTACGAAAAAATTAGATGTCCAAGTTCAAAGCAATTTAGTTTTTGTATTACTCAGTGGAGCTGCTAAAAAAAAAAAACAAATTTGTACAAGAACAAACAGAAAAACATAAACAAAAAGCATCTGATTGCACAATATATAAGTGTTTAGAAAATTTATCACATGGTAGCCACCATTTTTTAATTCTATAAAGCTTTGAAGAAAAAAAAAGCACAAGATCAAAGCAACTAAATTATTTTAGTACTACCAGCATAACTTTAGGCAATACAAAACAATATCTGATTGAGTTTAAATCAGGGTTGCCACTGAAATCTGTGCATATTATGTACAATACATTAAGAGGAAAAACACAATCACTGTGTTCTTGTAAGAGCTGTATTGGGCTCACTATACTAGTAATAATTGCTGTAAAAACTTAAGGAAAAAAGGAACAGCTTAACATACTTGAAACAAACAACGCTATAGTAAATGAAATAGCTTAGTATAGCTAAATTATCATCCCTACATATCCCATAGATTGACCTTTGAGTGGTCACCACTTTTAACAGACGAAAATAAGAAACAAAATTCCTTGTATTTACCCAAAAAAAAAAAAAAAAAAAAATCAAAATTCTCTGTATTTTCTAGATTTTCCTACTTCTTCCTTTGGAGTGGCAACCCTGTTAAAGTAAAGCTTTTTCAAATAAAAATGTGTTTCACAGTTGCTTATGATAAGTAATCTTGTGTCTTTTAAGGCTTGATTTCTGAGAGAAGCAACGGCCACATTCTTCACACGTGAATGGACGTTCTTGAGTATGAACACGCAGATGATCCCTGAGGGTGGACAGAGAACGCTGCAATTTACCACAAATTTCACACATTCTGGGATCACTTGAACTGGAATATAAATCGTAATTGGAATAAGGAATTCCTGCAAAATAACGATTAAAAATATTAGCACACAAGAGTCTAAACATATTTCGTTTAGGTAGCTAGGTTTTTGCAATATGTGCCACGAGACACACACAAAAAGAATTTCGTGAAAAAGTTAAGGCAAATTTTTTTTTCAGCATACCATTGTTATTATTTTAAAAAATATCGGATTATGCTTCTTCGATAATTAAATCTTAAAAAACTTTAGTTTTTGATGGCTATTTATAGATTGTCTACAGTAAGAACTCCCCTCATCGCAAAGTCTGAGGTTGTCTGCTGCTAGGGAAACAAGAATAGCGCATTCACAAAGTCTGAGGTTGTCTGCTGCTAGGGAAACAAGAATAGTGCATTTTAGGGAGGGGAACTTCTCTTCACTGGGCTAGGGTTAACACACTTGACCAAAGAGATTCCTTTTCTCCAGTCGACCAGAGCCAAAACCAGTCCTAAACAATGATCCTACACCTCTACTTGAAATAGTTATTTCTCGTTACCATAGTCATCGCCATGGGACCAAACAATTGGCTAGGGGAGTTCTTACTTTAGACAAACTATACATTTGCCATGTAGTTGGCAAAAGAGAGTGGGGAGGAGAAAACATCACTATTATTTTCAAGAAAGTAAAGCTTCTTCTACAACAGTATGTTACATTTTTATTAAATCTGAGACCTAATCAATGCAATCTAAAAATTTAATATAATATGGACAAAACTGGTAGAAATGTAATAAAAACATAGCATTATATAAATAAAACATATTAATTTATGTGTTTCATAAATAAAACAAATTGAGTTACTTACTTTATATAGAAAACATATTTAGCTACATATTTTTATTTTAAACAAACATATTGAGCAAGACATAATTAATTTAGATTAGCATTGCAATTAAGTAGCTACAGCCAAATAGGCACCCACAATGACTAAGTTTATAAAGAATTAATTTGCAAAAAACGTTTGAAAATTAGTAATAACTGTTTAATTTGCACTTTACTACAGCCAGCATCAACTACAGTATCAATGTTATACATCGACAATGGTAAACGATTATGAATAACTGTAAGATTATTATTTTAGTTGTTATTATATTATTAGCTTAACATGATACTTGCCTCAAGAGTAATGTTGTTAGAGTTGTCTTAAATGAATGTCATGTCAAAATTGAATACTACATTGAATGAAATATCACACAGGTGAATGCTACTACTGTAAATCTACTTACGTGAATCCAAAACAGTCTGAAATTCTCAAGTTATGTTAGCTGAAATATCAAAAATTTACAGAGATGATAATAATTGAAAAGAATTTGATTATTGAGTACCTTTATTTTTTAATCATGAAATAAATTATAGAACAATTTTTTTTTTTGTTAAGATCTAAACATTTATAAACATTTCTATTAATGAATAATTATTTATTCAGTACATTATATGATACAATTTTTTGAAGCGGGCCCATTGAAGAGTGTACAAAAATAACTATAAGAAACTTCCTGATCAGATTTTCACCTACTTAATATGCAATTTCGATAATTCCAGATGTAAATCCTAAATATAGGATTGGTCAAACAATATATCTTGATACAACAAAACACAAATTCCCAAAATACACACGTGTTCCTCTTTTTATTATTTTGATTCAAATCTTGCATTCAAAATAAGGGAGTAGCAGCAATTTGGATGATATTGTCTGAAGACTTTCTTTGGGAGATAAATTTCTATAACCATTTCTTCAAAAAAATTGGAAATTTCATCTATCCAAAAATAATTTTGCGCAAAATATAAATTTTTATCAGAAATCAACATTAGGTTCATTGAAAATGCTAGAGAAGTCAAATGTACTTCAGGCTAATCAATTAGGTTTTTGAAACGTAATAATCAGCTATCCAACTTTCAGTAAGGAATAAAACTCATAATTAAATATATTGTCTGTGATTTACTATGACAGCTAATAAAACTAGCACAAACTTTTATATCAATTCAAAAATAATTAAAAATAACAAAGTTTTTAAAAAAACTTTTTTTTATAAATTCCAGTTTAGCTGTGTTAAATAAACTATAAAGACACAGAAAAGTCTTAAAGAGTATATTATTCAGTTTACAAGTTATTTGCAAGTTTGTAAAGGTTTGTGACATTCCCCGACTCCAAAGAGGATATTAATCATAAAAACAATTAAGTCAAAAAATAATAAGTGCAAATAATATTCTTACAATTTAAATAATAAGAATGCTATATTTAAACTAAAACAATCAAAGCAAAAACATATAAGTAGCTGAATCTGTAAACTTTAATTTGTTTCACTATTCTATTAAAAAAGAAAAATTACTTATTCACATATGAAAAAAAAAATAAGCAGGGAAATATCAAAGACTCAAAGTAGTTGACAATCTTTATCAAAACAGCATTTATTTTTTAAAAATATATTTATTATATAAAACTGAAGTATGCAGAATATTTACAACAAAAATGATAATAAAAATATCTAAGATTAAAACGTCAAACAAAATGAATGCAATTTAAAATAACAATTTCTGAAAATTACACAATTAAAAATTAAGCATCAAGTATTTTTAAAGTTAAGTAGTTTTTATGAAACATATGTCAAAACACTTAAAATAAAAATAAAAAATTAATATTGAACATACAAGAAAAACAGGGAGGAGGGAGTTAGTCAGTTTTCATAATTTCAAGTAGGTTTTTCTCATAATTAAGAAGAAAAAAAAGATATTTATATTATTAAGATTAAAATATATTATTATAATAAACCAAGAGCATTTTCCTTTATAACAATAAGAAATAAAGAAAATTATCTGCATACATAATTATAGATATGGCACATGCTCATTACATTGTATATTTATTATACACATTGTATATTTATTATACTTGTTAAAATTTCTAAAGAGAATCATTGTACCAAAAGTTTATTAAGTGCTCTTGAACATCAAATTTAGTGTACAAACTTACAGTTCCCTACACTTTGACTGGTAATTCAGAATGCACTTTAAAAAATAATTTTTCTACTTTAAAATTGTTGCAAATAATTTTAATACACAATAAGATTTTTAACAGCACTTAGATTTATATGCATATATTTTAGTTTTAAAAATTACATGTAACTGGACAAAGTTATTTACAGAAAATTTTGTTTGAGGTCATGTTGTGTTCTAAATTGAATAAAAAATTTTTTTCTGCATAACTCTCAGTAAAATGATTAAAATAAATTTTAATTTCACTAGAGAAGAGTTTAAAAATCTGTATCTTTTAATCACTATAAAAAAAGTGAATACAAATGAAATCTATCATTGTTACCTGTAATTAGAAAATGATATGCATTATTGAAAAATAATTAAAAAGTTGAAGAGAAGAAATAAAAATAAATTAAAATTAAGTTACACCCATTTCTCAGAGATATACCTTATAAGATACCATAATTACATAATTTATTTATTGCTCCTTAATTTAACAATGAACACTCACACTGGCTACATGTATAAAAGTAACTTATTTTACAATACCTATGTACAGAGAAAAAAAAATTTTTTTTACATCACATAGTATGAGTAAAGAGATTAAATATAAATATTATATTATGATCATTAAAATTAACTACAAAATGCATTAAAATACTAAGCAGCAAGAAAAGTTCCATGTAAAGTCTTTAAAGTGGAATTTTCTTGCACTACTTCTAACAACTTGTGTATTAACTAACATTCATTGTTGCTTCATCCACCATGAAAGTTCTAACACTAGACAGTTTCAGTTTATACAATGATTAGCTGAAATAAATTATTCATTCATTGTTACTTAACCCAGTATGAATTAAAATAAATAATAATAGTCTGATTCCATTTATATAGTAATTAACTGACATACATTATTCATTATTGCTTCACCCAGAAAACAAAAAGTAAAAATTAATAATTATTAGTTTCAATTTATGCTCTGATAAACTGAAATAAATGATTTATAATTGCTTTATTCAGCTGATTGAAAAAAGTAAGTAATAATAAATAACTTCAGTTCATATGCTTATTACTGAAATAAATTGTTCATTGTTACTTCACCCAGAATAAATAAAAATAGGTAATAACAATAGTTAGATTCAATTTATACAAAATTTAAATAAATTATTGATTATTGCTTTATCCGGAATGTAAAAAATAAGTAATTACTACACTTAGCTTCAGTTTAGATGGTGATTAACTGGCATTTAATAGTTAATGCTTCACTTAAAATAAAAATAATAAATACTTATTATAGATAACTTATTTTTACATATTTATTGAAGTCTTCATTATAAGAAGATTGCTCACTAGCAAAAAGAAATACTTCATTTGGCTGGCAACTCAATACACATAATTACAAAATAGGCTTAATGTACCTTGATTAACTGACATAAATTTTTCAAAAATATTCGATATATCAGTTTTAAATAACGTATGATTGACTTTTAAGTTCAACTATTGAAATTTCTCTGCAATTTCAACTTGTAGGTTACATAGGCACACTTTACTGCTGTGAAAAAGGTTACAGTTAATTATTTCACAATGAAGATCCCTTTACTTTAGTAATTCTTATGCCTTGAAAATAAAGAAGATATTTTAAATCCCTTAACCATCAATGATTTCGGCAAATTAGAGCAAAAAATTCTCTGCCGAGTATTGTCCCCCCCCCCCATTGAATAACATTAAGAAACCAGTTTACAAACAAATATATAATATCTCATACTAAAGTTTATGCCCACAAAAAATAATAAATAAATAAAAATTTAATGCACAGATATTTTATTTAACGACATGTTTATTATAAGGAAATACTTTTGAACTAGTTCCAATCACAAGCAGGTAAATTTCATAATTTTATAAAAAAATTTTTTTAAAGGAATTTTTGAAAGCAATGCAATGAAAAAAGCTATGCAATGAAAAAAATGATTTTGTCTTGCTAATCAGCACTTAAATATAAAAATAATTTGAAATTTGTTTTTCATGCAAAAGTCTGCCAGATTGTTATTTTACAATAGATAAAGAAATCTACAAAACATTTTTATTTTTTAATTTCATAATTATTGTCATACTATGCCTTAATGACTTTTCAACTCATTTCACATAGATTTCACATAAAAAAAAATCCTGAAATTGCTTAGTATTTTAAATTAGTAAATTTTGACACTTAATCGCATGGGGAAAAAATAGACTTTTTTAAATATCCTAAAATATTTCAATTGGACATCCCACCGGTTTCTATCATACTTTTTAACAAAGAATTTCTTTCTCACATTTGTAAAAGAGAAGTTAAATATAAAAAAGAAATGTTTGAACATAAAACATGTAGGAGTAGTTATATTTTACACTTTTGCAGAATACATGCATAATTCACTTAATTACTAGTTACGCTAACTTCAAAAGTGCACTAACTTGCAAGTGAATTGAACCTCTAAAGAGACAAAACTTTACAGGCTTTCTAGTACAGAATCACAGATAAAAGCAGACACTTTCATAACCAGCGAGCAAAAAAACCTTTTTCCCTGTAGCCAGATTGGGCTTCTGCATTCCAAAGGCTAAGAAAATATCAGAGCAAACTAAGAGAGCAGTGACTATGAATTTTAACCCCTATAAGCTGCAGATTGGAATTAAAACAAATGGGAAAATTCTAATTTTAGCAAAAAAAAAAAAAAAAAAAAAAAAAAAAAAAAAAANAAAAAAAAAAAAAAAAAAAAAACACTCTCATTGATGCAATTGAGGAACAAAGTTTCAAAAGTCCATTTATGAGTTATGAGCCAAAAGCTCATGACTCAGAAAAAACAAAGTAAGTGACATTGTGACTTTTCTTTCCTTTCATTGCATGCGGATATGTATAGCTTTTAGCCATATGAGCCTCATTCCTGATAGTCTATTCTATCATATGTGAGTCCTTCCCCTAAGTGTGTTGCTCAGTGAGCTTTCATAATTTTGACCCGTATGAGTTTAAAACCTGATTAAGAGGTATTTAAATTTTTATTCCCTACCATGCCAACTGACTTCGTAAGTAAACAAGACTTCATTGCATTTTCAGACAAAAATGTAGCATTATTGGGTAAAAATTTACGTCCAATTTTTTAAAAAGTTCAATTATAACAATTTCAATAATACACAATTGGGAAAATTTTAGCTGCAAAGTTATTTGAAACATGGCCACTACTAAACTTCGTGCCAAATTTTAAATTCAATAATAATCTGGCTTTGCAACTCTCACAACTACAAAATTCTTTTCATTAAAATAAATAAAAACTGTTAGGTTAAGAGCCAAAAATACCAAACATCACACGTAAAAATAAGACAGTGCTGAAGGCTAAGAGATTGAAGTGAATTATTAACTACATTTCATATAAACATTTTTGGAGATCAAATACTGTAATTTTTGTTATGGTCACATTTTTTTCTCCTTAAAAATATAGTCAAACTAAAATTGTAAGCAAACCCTTTTCAGCCAATGTACACAACAGATGGATCAGTCGTGAAGATTTGAGTCTATAAGTTGACTGATGCCTCCAGTATTATTTCAGGATGGTGCGATTTCATATGTCTTTTCAAGCTTGATTTTTGAGTAAAACTTCTTCCGCATTCTTCACATGTGAAAGGACGCTCTCCGGTATGAGTGCGAAAGTGGATTTTGAGGCTGGACATAGAGTTTTGTAATTTGCCACATATTTTGCAAACAGGTATTATGCCAAAATCAGGATTTGAAACATAGTTAGAATATTGGTTTCCTGTAAAAAGTTAAAATGCCATCATATTAGTTTTGAAAGTTTATAACAGTCAATTAATAAATCTGTTAATATGTTTAGTAAGAATTTTTTGTAAAAGTAAGTAATTTTTTAAAAAAAAGTCACTATTTAGCAGGTAGTAAAAAAAACGTACTAAGAGTAAATGAAAGTTATCGTAAAGCAAGCAATCAAATCTGAATTTCAGGACAAAACTGGACTGAAGTACTTTCATCATAAAAGCAAAGAGTGGAGAGAAATACAAAAATAGATACCACATAAATTGTACACTGACATGAACAGAAATGTCTGAGGAAAAAAATGAAGAGAAGTTCAGTAAAAAAAAAGGAATAAAGCAACTAGCAAGCAAACAGAAACCCTTTCATCAGTGTAGAGGCAAAGAATGAAGATGAAATACAGAAAAAAATCAAAACAAATAAGGTACTAAAATAAACCAAAACACATTCATCACACGGCATAGACAAAGACTGAGGAAAAATATAGAATAAATCTTGTACTGAAATGAACAGAGTAGAGTCCGAGAATGAAGAGAAGAACAGAATAAATATACCAAAATGAGCAGAAGTACATTCATCAGCACAGAGGCAAACAATAAAGAAGAATACAGAAAAGAGACTGAATAAATTGTATACTGAAATAAACAGCAATAAATTTATAAGAGCAGGGACAAAGAATTAGGCAAAATGCAGTATAAATTCTATACTCAAATGAAGTACTTTCATCAGTGCAAAATATAGAATAAATTGTGCACTGAAATAACTAGAAGTAAATTCCTCAGCCCAAAAACAAAGATTAGAAAGAAATATAGAATAAAAGAGATACCAAAACAAACAAAGGTTTCTGCATCAAAGCAAAGGTAAATAATAATGAGAAGCCAGGTAACAGAATTTATTGAGTGTATCTGTAGCACTCTTTTCGTAAATTTAAATTTGTCTGACTTCACAATCAGCCAGAGATTATAATTGCAATGATTAAGCTTAATCTAAGATATATTTAACAGAATTTGCATAATTAATACATAAAACACAACATACAGACATAATACTCTAGTATTTATGTAAATTCTAACCTCTCCTTTCATAAAATAAACAAATTAAAATACTTAAATTAAAAATTATTTTATACAATTTTTAACCAGAAACTATTTTGTCCCTTGTTTTGTTATCCTTTTTTCATTTTTAGTATTGTACCTTAAAGTTAACAGAAAAAATAATTTTTTGATGAAATTAGAGAAAACTAACAAATAAAAACTTTCAAATGAACAATAAATTTACTTTTCAAAACCAAAGGAAATTAAAAATTAAAGAAATACTGCAAAACAAAACCTTGTAAAATTTTTAATGATCTGTTAAAAAAAAATATCAAACATATTTTTTTTCAAGAAAAAAGCATTTTTTTAGATAAAATTTAATTAATTAAAAGCAAGTTAAATTTAATGAAATTTCAGTTATACTCATAATGTATGAAGAATAAATCTTTTCATTTTATTTAAAAAAATAATTTTCTGTACCAAAAATTGCATTATTTAATGAAAATGTTTTAATAGCACACGTAAGCTATAACAAAAATGAATAAAGACAGATATTTTCTTTCAATGGACAACGTTTTTAAATTTAGAATTAGATTAGTATAAACTAATTTTTTTTATAAAAAAATTAATTTAAAATTTTTAGGCAAATAAATCTAAAAGTATTAATTTTAGAAAAAATTTCTTGATATATGGAGAGCATAAAGAAGAGAAAAATTTAAATGAACACCAGTAAATTTTGAAGAAATATATTGCATTATAAAAAAACGAGAAATGAAAATATTGACATCATGCAGAAAACAATTATAATGAAAACTGGTAGAAACAAGGGCGTAAACATTTCAGAAAAAGAGGGGGAACTATGATGTTTCTAAAATTTTTGTGTTTCATTTATTTTTTTTTTTAATAATCAAATGAATAATGAAATATCTCAAATCAAGTAGTCAAAATTATGATTTAACAAAAAAATTAATTCAATATTTTTCTTTTTCTGTACTCTTGGAAGTAATGGCTCCCAAACTTCTTTTGTAGTTGCCCAAAATTAAGTAGCCAGGTCTGCTTTGGAACCTCTTTTAAAACTAAAATAGTTTAATAAATATTTATTTTTTATTACATAAAATGCAATAAAGGTTGACTTTTCAAATGATTAAAATCTGAGGATAAGTAAATGGTTAAAGTGAAATACTGCTCTAAAATTCTTCTTCTTTTTTTTTTTGCTTAATTCACACATATTCCAAAATATTACGCTAAAAATATAAGTAGAAAAATAATATATTTTACAGGGCAAGTAAATTGTTTCATTAATCTAAAAAATTAAGGCACTATACTCTTGGTACAGTAGAAATTACATTATTAACATACATGTGGTGATATTTTGAATTAAATCATTAGAAAATTGTAGATGGTTATTTAGTCTGAGAGAATGAAAAACAGTAAAAAAAATGAGATTTAAATTTTGAGAAAACTTATTTGGCCTATGCATACATCAATGCAAAAAGTACTGTATCTGCATAATTTGCAGAATTGATATTTTTAGGTAAAAATTCCAAAATGTTCATGTGGTCCCGTCATTATATATCAAAAATCTCATAGATTTATCTTTAAACAGAGTGGTTATCTATAAAATAGAAATATGTAAAAAGATGACGAACACAGTCTAAGAAAAATTAATCCTCAAAATCTTAATGACCACATATTTCACCATTTTACAATAAATTTATCTCAAAAAGTGATCAAAATTTAAAATATGAAAGTATTATTCATATTTGGGAGCTTTGGTGACTTCCCAGAATAGCCAAGTTTGGGAACCTTTTCCTTTCGATACAGAATACATTCATAAAAACATAATATGCAATTTTCAAAATGAGATAAAAATGAAACAATCGGTAATTTTACATAAGTGCATAATATGTTTCAAAATAGCTTTAAGAAAATTTAGGAGAAAAAGTCATATGCATGATACTGAAAAAGCTAAATGATTCAATTCTCAAATCTGAAACATATTCTAAAGTATTAAGAAATAAATATCTAAATTTCTCCACACAATTTCATAAAGTATAGCACTTAATCATTAGAAATATAGTTATTAAAATAATGGCACAATAATTTAGCTTTAATATGCAAAATATGAACTAATAAACAAATAATTATTATTGTACTTTTACAGCAGAGAATTAATTTTACGTATGACACATATTCCTATCAGTTACATTTATGTAAAATTAATATTGTAAATAAAACTAAATTTACCGAATTGAAAGTAAGATTAATTTTCATAAAGAATTAAAATCTAAATTAAAATAAAATCTTTCCAAATTATCAAATAGAATTTATTTATAAATTATCAATTAAAAGTAATACTATACATAAAATTACATTTACTAAATTGAAAGTAAGAATGAATTTTCATATAGAATTAAAATCTAAATTAAAACAAGATATTTTACATTACCAAGCATAATTTATTAGTAAATCATTTTATAACACAACTTAATAGACTAAAAATAACTTTATAATATATTTCATTTAAAAATATAAAATCAGGGCTGCACAGTCACATTCAAAACATTATATTCAAATCCAGTTAATTACAAACTAGGCATTTGAGATGAAAAGAAAAAAAGGTTTTGACCTTATGAAAATTTAAACAAATTATTCATAATTAAGTAAATAAAAATATTGCTTGAAGGGATATTATGTCAAATATTTAAAATATAACTTACCAAAAATAATAAATTATTCATTACAAGCAATAATTTCATTAACAAAATTAATTTATCTGAAAATTAAGAATGTTATAATAAAATGCAATTTGAAATATAATACAATAACATACATTAAAAAAAATACATAACTTGAAATTATGTTTACTTAGCGATAATATTAAAGCTTTACTATGATTTAGTGAAAGTTTTAAACGAGCATAACAGTCTAAAGTTGGAGTTGAACATTTCAGCTACCATAGCTCTGTACAAAACAACAATACAACTGTGCAATAGAAAAAAACTCAAGTGATTGACATTAAATTTCAAGAAAAGCTGCTTCACAACTATAGTCTTTCCCTTGTTAATGCTATCAAAGCTAAAATAAAATTTCAAAAAATAATAATAAGATTAATTAATTATTTTTCCTTGCAATTTCTCAAAATTATTCGCTTATTACACAAAAATAACATATATATAAGAATCACAATTTTAATTTTTTTATCATTTGCCTTGATTTTTCAATTGCACAGCAAAATACATGCAAACATTTCAATTAAAAGCTTAATAAAAAATTTTTCCAATGGAATATTCCTAAAAGGCACTTATTTAGATTGTTATCAACATAAAATTCAGTTTTTAAAACTTGTTGGGAAAAAGGGTTTCATATTTTAAAAGAAATTAATTCAGACAATTTTTTTGCCAAACAGCACATTTTTTTAAAAGCTTTAAAGTCCTATTAATGTCAAATTATCCATATTTGCTAACGACTTCAAAGTAAATATTTCTCTTTTGCATATGCATTAATATTTTGTCATTAAAATTAATAAGGAACTTAGAATTATCTGTACTGTACAGTATTCTTAAACTGTGAGTCATAACTCTGATTGAGTCATTTTTAAAAAATTTATGTCATCTGATTAAGTCAATTTGGAGTCACGAAAAATCTATTTTCCAAACTTGAGAGGAAAAAAAACCTACTCACAAGTGTAAAAAAAAGAAGATAAATTAGTTCAGATCCTAAAAAATGTTTTGTACTTTCAACAATGAATTTAGCTTAGTAAAATCAATTTCAACTTTTTTTTATCAGGATTATATTTGGGAAACCCTGAAGTGGTTCCTATAGCCTAGTTGCTAAAATTTCTTCCTGAAATTAAGTTTTAAAAGCTGATTTTCCACAACAATTTTTTTATTTATTTAAATCAAGAATTCAATGGTAAATTCAATAACATTACATCATAAAATATTTTTGTTATGGAATTA